TTGGTGGCGTTTTTCATTTCGCCCGCTATGGCCATTGGGAGTGGCGTTGTTACTGAGACTTTCTTTCGCCATGAGCGCGCGAGGTATATGGGTATTTGGACGGTTATGGTTACGCTGGGTGTTCCTGTTGGACCGTTTATCTTTGGTTTTGTTGCTCAGCGGGTGGGATATCGGTGGATTTATTGGATTTTGGCAATTGTGAGTGTTTTTACCTCTCTCTTTCTCCTTCTTCTTCTTCTTTTTCTTCTTCTTCTTCTTGTTCTTCTTCTTCTTCTTCCTCCTCCTCTTCTTTTATTCTCTTTTTTTTCATTACTCGGGATGCTCGTGCTTTTGACAAATGCTAACTTCATATCAGACCAATGCCGTCGAATTCATTCTATATATCTTCTTCGGCCCGGAAACACGTTATATCGGCACCGATGTCCAAACCAAATCCTCCGCCTTCAAGCGCGAGTACCTTTCCCTCCGCCGCATCGATCCAACCCCAATCAAGGTATCCGAGTTCTACCACCCAATGACACTCTTCACAAACATCCCAGTCCTTCTGGCCGCAATCGCCTATTCCATGGTCTTCCTCTTCGCCTCCGTCCTCAACTCAGTCGAGGTCCCCCAGCTCTTGCAGAGTAAATTCGAACTCAGCGCCCAGGGCCTTGGTCTTCAATTCCTCGGACTAATTGTCGGTTCCCTGCTCGGCGAGCAATTGGGTGGTATCATGTCTGATATGTGGATGAATGCGCGGGCCAAGAAGATCGGCCGCAAACCAGACCCGGAATACCGACTGTGGCTGAGTTATATCGGGTTCTTGTTGGCTATTGCGGGTATGGTTGTGTTTTTAGTTTGTACCGAGCAAGCGACTCAGGGTCAGTGGTCTGTTAAGCCTGTTGTTGGGACTGGGATTGCGGCGTTTGGTAATCAGGTTGTTACGACTGTTTTGACGACTTATGCTGTCGATACATATCCCCAGGATGCGGGTAGTGTGGGTGTGTTTATTAACTTCGTGAGATCAACTTGGGGATTTATTGGTCCGTTCTGGTATGTTGAGTTGTCAATTTCCTTGACCGGTTGAGAGAAGCGTTCGCTAATGATGATGATTAGGTTCACCTCCTTGTTCGACAGTGTTGGTATTGCGGCCAGTGCTGGTGTGGCGGCTGCATTGATTATGGGTGCTAGCTTTTTCCCTACTGTCTACCTCCAGTTGCAGGGGAAGAAGTGGCATGCTAGGAATACAGATGAGCTATGACCGATTGTTAGTAGATTGGCGAGAATGAAGACAATGTTGTGTTGAGTGCATGTATAGAACTACGAAAGACGGAATAGTTTCCATCTGGTATATTCAAACTAAAGTTTTCAGGTAGTCTTCTTTTATTATACCAGTAGGAAACAAGCCATGTCATCCATAGATCCATGGATGGTTCCATGCAATTCATCCAGGATGCATGCATGAATGGTTGTGGGTCACCAAAATCACCAGCGTGGGGCTTGGCGCGGATATTCGGATTTGATATTGAGCCAATCCAATCCAATTGGTCTGGTGGTCAAGCGACAAAGCAACCAAAACCTTCAGAGAAACATAGAAAGAAAAAAAAAAAAAAAGACATACACATTGTAGAGTAGAATGAAAAACAAAAAACAAAACAAAACAAAAGCCACCATTTCTATACTCCGAGAATCCCTTGCTGCAACTGACCGCCTATCGCCGCCGGAGGGCAGTTTGGAACAATCACAACCACCTCTCACCTCATCCCTCTGGAGCCTCCTCGATTATTCCCGACAACACCCCACATCTTCTCTCATTTCATCATTCGTCCTAACTAGGCGACTTCTTCCACAATGGAGAACTACCAGAGGATCGAGAAGCTCGGAGAAGGTATTGTTGACATTGACCCCGCGACGCGTCTCCCCGCCGTCAGCTATGAGCTCTCTATTTACCTCATACTCACCACACGTTAGGCACTTATGGCGTCGTCTACAAAGCGCGCGAACTCAATCATCCGAACCGAATCGTCGCGCTGAAAAAGATCCGCCTCGAAGATACAGACGAGGGCGTTCCCAGCACCGCCATCCGCGAAATTTCCCTGCTCAAGGAAATGCAAGATCCCAGCGTCGTTCGCCTGCACAACATCGTCTATGCCGAAAGTGACAATCTCTACCTCGTTATGGAATTCGTGGACCTCGATCTGAAGAAATATATGGACGCTCTGCCTGTTAGTGACGGTGGACGCGGCAAGCCTTTGCCAGATGGGTTCTCGAAGGGCGGTGCTACGATCGGTCTGGATGAAACGATTGTTAAGAAGTTTATGGCTCATTTGTGTGAGGGGCTGCGCTATTGTCATAGTCATCGGATTATTCATCGCGATTTGAAGCCCCAGAATTTGCTTATTGATCGTGAGGGGAACTTGAAATTGGCCGATTTTGGTCTGGCTAGGGCCTTTGGTGTGCCGCTGAGGACGTATACCCACGAGGTGAGTATCTCACGTCTTATCTTCGGGGCTCGTTTCGTCTGGAGTCAAAGTTCACTAACAACTCTTTGTCCAGGTCGTCACTTTGTGGTATCGCTCACCAGAAATCCTGCTCGGTGCCCGGCAATACTCCACCGGTGTTGACATGTGGTCCGTCGGTGCTATCTTTGCAGAGATGTGCACCCGCAAACCTCTATTCCCCGGTGACTCCGAGATTGACGAGATCTTCAAGATCTTCCGGTAAGAGAGAGCTGCATTCCGTTCCGACGATTCATCCATACTAACTTGTCACAGCGTCCTCGGCACCCCCAGTGAAGAAGAATGGCCCGGAGTCACCTCTCTACCAGACTACAAGGCGACATTCCCGAAATGGCAACGCCCAAATAGAGAGATCGTGCCGACTTTGGATGACAGTGGCTGCGATCTCCTCGAAGCCCTGCTGCAATATGACCCCGCCCAACGGCTGTCAGCTAAGAAAGCCTGTGTACACCCCTACTTCCGTCATGGAAGCTCTTATTACTCCGGACGCAATGCAGCATAGAGGACACTCGAAATTGACTAGCGATCCTTCTTCTATTCGACAACCCTCTACACACCAATATCCGTCACTCCCTGCTGTCACCGTTTAAAATCGCATGTCCATTCCATTCCCTTGGTTTATTGCGTCTACTACTCATTTGCATTTTCGGATTAAGGTAGGAAGGAGGGAAATTATCTCGGCGCACATCATCCACCATGGAAACTGGGCGTTCTGACAAAATTCTACTGTATCAATGGGCAATGCACTACACGAATACTACTTACCCATGTTCCGCCTCATGATATGATGTGATGTGATCTGATCCATGCACTATTCCAAACGATAACGATATTTCCCATCATGATAATTCGTCACTCGGTCGAGAGAAAAAAGAGAAAATAAAAACAAAAGGCAAAGTTTGATAGTTCGAATGCGGGGGTCTCCGAGCAGGTGTAGTGACTCACAACAATGCAACCCAATCCATACCGAGCAAGCAGGCAAGAAAACTCGCGAGAAAGCGATAACCTCTTGGCAATTCTTGGAGATCCCTGCGGAGGGAGAGAAGCGGAGACTTTTACGAGGTTCGGTCATGCACATCCGTGTCTTGGGTTGTTCATCCAATCCCGTTTGAGATGTCGGCGGAGGGATCCGGTCTGATGTTTTAGACTAGTATCTCTCTTTCTTCCTTCTCGTTCCATTGAATGGGACAGAGTACTGCAATTCCAAAAAAAGATCACCAATCCCCTTCTCGTCCGATAAGATTCTGCAAAGTTCCGAGTTGTGTTTTAGAGTAAATAAAGTTGGGTTGAGTTGACTCATACCCATCACATCCATAATTGACTCACGTCTATCAGACGTGGATTAAAAACTTAAAAGCTAGCTTACATCTTTATTTTCTCCATTTCTGTACAGTCTACACGCTTCGAATTATTGTCAAAAATATACCGTTCATAATGTCCCTCCCAGACAAATCCCTCACCTGGCAACGACCAGGCTTCTTAATCTCAACCGACAAAACCCTCCTCTCCCTCCAATCCATAAATCACGCCTTCAGTCTAGACATCGTGTACTGGACAAATCTAGTCCCAGAAAACATCCTATCAACAATTGTCGAGAATTCATTCTGTTTCGGCCTATACGAGGTCTCCAACTCTTCCACCACGACTACGACCTCCAATGTAGAAGACCTGAAACAAATCGGATTCGCCCGTCTAGTCGGTGACAAGGTCACATTCACATATTTCACCGATCTTTATGTATTACCACCATATCAGGGTCTCGGGCTCGGTGGGTGGGTGATTGATTGTATTGGTGAAGTCGTTGATCAGATGCCGTATCTGCGGTGGGCGATGTTGAGGACGTCCTTGGAGCAGAGCCGGGTTGCTTATGAGAAGAGGCTTGGTATGAAGGTTCTTCTTTCTGGGGATATTAAGGATGGGCCTGTTATGATGGGGAAGAAAGGGGTTGTTGGGGGTCCTTAGGTTGCCAGCCTACTACCAGTAGCAGTAGTAGTAGCCGATCGTTCGGTGGCTGGAGGCTGCATAGTTCTGATATACAAGTTGGGCTGTTTGAATGTTTATGCGTGGAAGCATGCGCGTCGGGATTGGGACTGGCGAGAGGAATCCAGGACGATGGAAAGAGAATACTACACGTAGGAAGAGGGAGAGATGAAAATGAACTTGAAAGAAAGTATCGCAGCGAATCACGCGCACGCGAGAACTCTCAATATTGTCAAAAGATGAAATTGACCAGACAATGATATCGTATATGTACAGTTTAACAGAGAGCAACCAACCACACTCTCGCAAATCTCTTTTCCGGGGCGGTGCGGTACATCGTGGAATAGACTCAATAAAAGGAGCTTCCCTGCTCGGATTGGATCAGTCCAGGTCCAGCTTCAGTCTTGAAACACCTTGGTAGGCTAAAGCTAGAAGATCGGCTTCCGGCATGTCTCTCCGCCTGTGTAGCTCGTCCGCCCCCGCTTCACTTCACACCATCCGGCAGCGTTCGTCGCGGGAAATCTAAGAGGACTTGGCAGTGTTGCCGGGGTAGGAGTTCTTCTCCTGGAAGAGATAACCCTTAATCTTGCGCTCGTTCAGGAGCTCGAAGTACTTTTCTGTGCGGTGAAGAGAAGACATTAGCAATTGTTCGGACATGTCAATGCTGGGTCCGACTGGTTCAGCCTGCGCGCGGTCAAGGCCAGACCTGGTCGGACCGGACCAATTGGGCGGAGCAATGGCTGCGTTTCGTAGGCAAATCGATCCAAGGTATAAATCCTCGCACTCATCATACTGCCGAAAGAGCAAACGGGGAGAAGGAATTACCTCTCAAGACACCACACTTCTCAAAGTGATTCACGCCCTCGCGCGCATAGCACTTGCCCAATTCCTCGCCAACAAGACGAGACATCATACTGCGTACCCACTGCTCACGAATGATCGCATCGCGAGCATTGTGGACTGCGACGTTGTCCTCGAAGTCGACGCCGTCGTAGGTCGGGGCGACGGTGGGCTTTTTGGCCAGGAAGGCGGCGGACTCGGGGGTGGGCATTTTGCTGAGGTGACCCGGTAGGTAATGTGCGGAGGAGGTGTGGATGTGTCGAGGTCGGGACCTGGAGGGAGAGTCGGTTCCCTGCTGGTGTGCTTCGTAGGGATTGAGATTGGAGGTGGAGGAATTGGTGGTTGATGCGGTCGAATCGGATGGGAGGGTGGTTGGATTATCGGAGTGTTGATTGGTTGGTTGGCCGGGCGGTGGAGGATGTCTCCACGTGACCTGGTGTAGCAATTTGATCACATGACTAGGTACTACGCAGTGTAGTCCCAGTACCCTAAGGTGGAAATGAAGTACTTGAATAAAGGCATTAAATATAGAAGGGAATAATGAAGGGAACTTATGATTATTTGCAGCTCCGAAAGGTAAATGCACGGAAAACACCCAACGCCAACTGCAACCCCCTGCAGCAAGCACAGTCCTAATATACAAAAGCCATAGTCCATCTAGTCTGCGCCGGTGCCTGTATCATACAAAAGGCCCTCTAGAAAATGCGTAGCAACGTGAAGGAACATGAGGACATGAAGGGGTAAAAGAATGAGGACAAAAGAAGAAGGAAGTCGAAGCAGGAAGAACGAGATGAAGCATATGATCTAGTCACCTCCTCTCCTACTCACCCGCCGAATCACCAGAACCAAACAGCCCCTCAAAGGCCGAAGAAATGGCATCATGTACCTTCTCCCAGACCGAGCGATTGTTGTAATTGGCAATTTCGCGGAAATTGTAAATTTCAGCCCAGCAGTCGCGACCGAAGGTACAACCAGCCATATTCACAACTAGATCATGCTCATCTTCCTGGTAATGCACAGCTGGATCATTCTGATCCCCACAAGCACCAACCGGGAAAGCATTGATTGAGCGCTGGGGGAGGAATCCGACACTGCTGCGAATCCAAGGTTGGCTTTGGTAGATGTATTTGAAAGCATCCTGCTCCTTATGTACCCAGTCCATATGCATCTGCTCATACATAACCGGGTCCCACCACGCATCAAGCAAGCGATCAGTCCACAACGATCTTCGTAAAAAGAAAGAACCAAGATTAAACCCAGAACAATCTTGCGTAAGGAGCATCTGCAAAGAATCGGTTCGACCATCACCTTCCAGCGCCCGACCTAATTCATCGAGATAGAATTCCGGAAGAGGGTGCGTGATGTTGAGCGGGTTGTTATCGTTGATATCTCGATAAACCATCTCATCAAGAGAATTGAATATCTCCCCCTGCAGGGAAGCTTCACGTTCCATGATCCACGTGTTCAGATCAAGCCACCAGAACCACTCCGCATGCGGGTATTTGCGCATCGTCTGGCGAATGACGTCGCCCTTCTCCCAGCTTTCGCGCCACTCATGCGAATATCGTTTCTTGGCTAGCATGTTGACGACTTCGATTTCGTAGCCCCAGTGCGTGGCATATTCTTGCTTATTGTGGATGCTGTTGCGCTCGATTGCCCATTCGCGTGCGCCTTTGAGTTCCATTACGCCGCCTTCGACATTGGAGCCGAGGATTATGACGAATTTGCGGCCTCCGCCGAGTGGGGAACGTCGGTAGAGATGGACTAGAGCTGTTGAGAGAGAAATATATGGTCAGTTCATTGGTTAACCCTCGAGTTGAAGCTCAAGTCATGGAGTGAACATACGCCCCCAAAGACAAATGTAGGCAAGGCATGCTAGGAATACGCCAAGCAAGATGCGCACCCGACTCCGACGCAGAAGAATAGCTAGAGTACCTCGAGCACCCCCAGCCGAGGAGCGCCATCTCTCGCGCCCATATACATCCTTATCAACGTAGCCGTGCGGCGACTGGTGACCGTTGAAACTGGGGAGTTGGTTGGAGATCTTCTTCTTCTGGCGGGAGAAGAAGCCGCTATTGCGCGTTGCGAAGGATGGGTAGCCGCGTACTTCGTTGCTTTTTGCTTTTGCTGCGGCCCATGTGCTGTTTCCTTTGGTGTTGCTGTTCGGCGCGAGGGTGTTGGGGGAGTACCCGCGTACGGGCGTGGAGGAGCCGCTGCCCGGAGTTAGACCGGGGCTGGACCACCCTCCGCCCGCATGGGGAGAGGGTGATCGCGACAAGGACATTGAAATACGAGGGGGAGGGGGAGGTCGATATCTAGGCGCGGTGGTGTGGAACTCGGGTTTTGGCGAGGAAATTCGAGGTAGGGATGGGATGGATGACTCTCCAGGAGTCGAGGGTCGGTTGAGGTCAGGATGACATTAGGGTCGGAGGAGAGGTCCCTGGGTAGGTGGGATTAAATGAGGACGACGGATTGAGATGAGATCGGATTGAACCGAGCAAGGGTCGCACAGACCAGGTGAGGTTGAAGTTGAGGAACAAGTTGTAGTTGGAGGTGGAGCCCTGGCGATGAAGTGGAGTTGGAGAAGGTTGCCGCATGCGGAGAGGAAGTCGCAGAGCTGGCCACTCCAGGAAGTAATCAGTAGTCACTAGAGTAGCTACTCTCATATCTGCTGAGTATCTTGGAAAATATACTACTGTCAGCTTATGCGTTTCATCTTATTCATACTTATTCTCAATCGATATGACGGTGTTGCTGATCTCACCTACCGGAGATTATCTCCGCCACTGGCATTCTTCGAGGAAGTATACCAGCCGTCACTTTCATACGCAGTCTACGTACTTTACGCATGCGGACAAGGCCATTGTGACAGCTCCACATGGCAGCCAAGTATACGACCCTGAGTTCACACCATAGGATGCCATTATCACTAGTATCAATCTATTTGCAGAGTAGAGAGAACAGCCCAGATTCGCCTCAAATCAAATCAAATCATGTCATGTCAAATCACTTCAATCGCGAAATCCACAAATATCACTAGGGTTTATTCCTCATCTTTCTTTTCCGTAGACAACACAGGCACAGGCATGCGATTCGTTGCACCGTCAGACTTCCGCACCAGAGCCTGTCGAACCACAAATCCCTCCTCATGCTCCGGGCGAGTCTCAACGCTCTCCCCATGATAAAACTCACAGCGGAGATCCAAGAATTGCCCGTTATGTTTGTAGATAGTAATCACATCGCCAGTGTACAGTTTCCCGAACTGGAACCCGTTTGGTCCATCCTTGCGTAGCTCGACACCATTCACCCAGATACATTTCCGCGTCTTGGTTGACAGGACGGCCATCACGCCGTCTACATCCATCCAGTTTCGGCCCTCGGCAATCATGCATTCGATGGCGGGCGCCCAGAATGTGATTTCCAAGGCGTAGGCCGGGATTCGTACGTCCATTCGGTCTTCGTGTCGAACGGTGGCATTGGGCCCCGTCCCCATGATGTGAGGCGGTTTTCTAGGCGGATGTTGAGGTCGAAGATTGAACCTGGCAGACTCTTGAGTCGCCCGAGTGGTTTGGCTGGTTTGGCGAATTCACCGCCGGGCATACTGATGGGGGTATCGGGTCGATGGACAATCACATCGGATGGCGCCTCGGTTGCGGGTAGTTGTTCTCGCAGCTGCGCATCTAGGATGGCCTGGCCAGTTTGGGCATCCAGGGTAGTCGCAAGTTCAGGGTCGAAAGATGGTTCGGTCGGCTTTGTAGATCCGCGGCGACTATTTGGTGCACTGGCGCTGCTGGAGCGCTCACTCGCTGTGTCGGGAATATCAAGCTCGATGCGACGAGACACCTTTGGTGGCCTTGGCGTGATCTCTGCATTGTCAGAGCTGGGGAGTGCTCCCCTTTGACGTGGAGTTCTGTTGCTACCTGGATTGACGGGCTCCCTCTGCTCGCCAGGAGTGGTCTGCCGGGTCGATGATTCAGTAACGGGACCGGTCGGGGGAAGGAGAGGAAGCGAGGAGTTCATATTCAGTCGTCCAACGAGATTCTCTGCGCCCATGAGGCTGGGTGCAGTGCCGCCGAAGGGGTTTTCCGGGAGAGAAATGATGGAATAGACACTGTGTTCATCGCTCATCGACTCACCGGATGATGCAAAGCCCTCGGCCTCAAAGTCAACTCCAGCCCAGGAGCCGTTTTGGCCGAGTGCGTAGGAGCTGCGCAGTGCGGAAGAAGTGACTTCGCCAAAGAGACGTCGGGCTTGTTGTTCGGCGACAACTTGGCCGTCTTGGAAACTTTCGATGTTGGGAAGTGAAGGATACTTGATTTCCGTGGGGATTTGTTCCAGGCGTGGACGTTTGGCGAGAGCTTCACTGCTGCTTGACTCTTCACCTTCACCGGCGTAAGTGTACCCCTGGTCATCAGCAAGAGAGAGTTGAGATGCGTCTAGCTCTTCGTCTTCCCCAATAACCGAGAGGCCCTCGCGCACTTCGGCGAGGATATCGTCGTCTTCGTACTGATCCACATCCTCCACCTCGGCAATCCACGGATGCTGAAAGCAGTCTCTCTCTGTTGGTCGACAGAAAGGATCTCGGTTCAGAAGCTGGGCAACGAATTCGATACCAGATTCTGAGACACCCTCTCGACGCAAGATGTCGTAATCGGCGTCAGTCTCCATGATACAGCGGAGCATGTGTTGACCACGGTCTTCAGCACGACCAGAATATGGTGGCACTCCGGCGAGAATATGGTACAGAACAGCACCAAGCGACCACATGTCGACAGCCTGGCTGTAGGGTGAGGTTTTGGGGGGGTCTAACAATTAGCAAACTTTCTATAGAGTGTGGATAGACGGGAAAACTAACGGGTCTCCAACACGACGTCTCTTCCGAGCATCCCCTCGCCGATATGTCTCATAGTCGGGATACACCTCAGGCGCACAGTACAGTAGTGTACCACAGAAGGTCTTGAGGAAAGTCTCCTCCTGCGTCACCTTGGACAGCCCAAAATCTGACAATTTCACACGAAGCGGATCGAGCGATGCAATAAGAATATTATCCGGCTTGATATCGCGATGGGTAATTCGGCGCCTGTGAAGGTAGTGCAGTGCCCGCAGAAGCTGGCGAGCGATAGTTCTCACCATATCCTCCTGGATCTTGCCCTGTGATGACAGATATGTCGACAATTCACCCATAGGTACATACTCCATTATGATGTAGATCCAACGGTCATGTTCGTGATAGTCGATGTATTGAACGATATTAGGCTGTAGAGAAAGACCATCAGTTATAGGCAACCAGAGGCACAGCAAAAGTGAGAGCAGAGACAGAACTTACATGTGTCAAGTCACGCATAATCTTCATCTCGTTGTCAACCTTCTGGTCCAAAATTCCTTTCTTCATAAATCGATGCTTGTCCAATTCTTTCGCGGCATAGATCGCACCATGCTGCTTTGTCGCCAATTTGTAGACCGTCGCAAATGCCCCCTTGCCGATCTGCCCTGTTACATTGTACATCGCACCACCAGTCCAATGCATCCCGTATGTGTTGGCGACCGACCACGAGAGGACGGGTTGATTTGAGGAGTATCGAGTCTTTTGTTGGGCTACGCCGGCGACAGTATGTTGGAGACGCTCAAAGTAGTGCAGAACATTCTGTGTATACTGCATGGCGAAGCCCTCACGAGCCGGGATTCGAACCACAAAGCGTACCTCGTCGGAGCCCTGATTGCCGGTGACGACTTGGATGATCGAGCCGTTTGTGAGCATACGACTGTTTTCCTTTTGTGTTTTTCGAAGGCGGCAGTTGTCCACGATGGTGCCGTTTGTCGAGGTGTCTTGGAGCATAATGATGCCATCGCCGGTCAGGTAGATTCGAAAATGGTTGTTCGATACGCGTTTAGCCTCGTCGTCACCGGCGAGAAGGATGTCGCAGCGCGCTTTATTGCGACCGAAACAGAACCCCGCCCCGATATCATGAACGTCCGAGGACAATCTCAACGCCACGTCGAGGGCCGCCGTTTCCGATGTCTCATAGTCCAAGACATCTTTCTGAAGAATGTGTTGGCTTCCTAGTGCTGCGGTGGCCGCTACTCCATCGTGCGCGGCATGGGAGTTGGGATGCAAAATACAAATGATGTCCGCAAGATCCTGTTCTTGAAGGCCGGAATTGTTCAGGCCCATCCGACGAGGATCAGCACAAGGCTGTGTGGATTCTTGGGTGGCTTCCATGGCGGGAATGCAAAGGTTGAAGATGCAGATTGTGATGCAGCACGCTAACGACAAACAAACAGAGAGACACGAACGAGAAAGAAAACAAGAAAAAAGAAAAAAAACTACAAACAGCCGGCGGCGTGGGTATATGTCGTGAGAGCAGGAAAGTTTGGCATGAACAGGGTTATGAATACACGGTTGGGCCTGAAGATGGCCTGTAAGTAAATTCGAAGAGATGCGACGTCCGGGGGGACAAGGGGTTTATATACCTTGCAGTGGGTGCGAGACTAGGCGGGATTCTCACCAGGGTGATCACCCAGGCGAACAACCAACGATAAAGGAAATGAGGCACAATATGGGCAGAAATTGGGCAGTTGTAGGTTGCACAAGATAGAACGTAAGTGTGAAGATATTTTCAATATAGCGAGGAGGGATCGGATGAGTGGTGAAGAGGGATGGAGGGCGGTCTCTCGAGATGCGCGTGGGTGTCAGTCGGGGTACTGGATGCACTCATGCGACACCGACTGAAAGGATTCCGGCAATGAATTGGGAAGGATGTCACGGCCAGCAGATTTGAATCACGATCCGGGTCAAATCTGAGAGAGCAGATGTGGTGCGAAGGCAACCACTCGCCGTGCGGCCGTATAGGTCGTAGCGGCTGGACGACCGCGGAGGGGATTAATAGATTGTTTGGCAGAAGGAAGTCATTGGAAACAATCAGTCCGTTCGTGAGGTCAATTCAGGAAGGGGTGGGACGATCGGGAATGTATCTCTGTAGATGATGAGGTCGTCGGTTAGCCTGGGATCTTCTGTAGACAGAGGTACAAACCATTTGTTTACGAGCTGAACTCGAGCTCGAATCCGCCCCGGGCCAAGAGAGGAGAAACTCACACGATGATCGGCGGGCAATCATAAAAGAGGGTGAAGCAATGGACCAAAAGAGGGCAGCAGGAGCAGAGACTGCAAGGTGATGGTCGTCCGAGAAACAAAAAGTGAGAGCCGCAACGAAGTTCCACTGGCTGGCGGCGTCAAGAGGTTCCAGCGGGATCAGGCAGGAAGGCACCAAGGCATCAATGAGGCAACATTCAGGCAGAAAGTCCAGTTTCCGAGCTGAGTCATCCATTCATTTGGCCTCTGATTGGCTGGAATACCCCGAAATCGAGTCTCGCCCATGGATGTCCCAGATCTGATCGAGAGCTTATTTGTTTATTTGATATCGGACATTTGAGGGGAGTGTACACATGGCATGTTGGCCTAAATATGCAACCCCTATTAACTGAGAATATCATCAGTCGCACGGCTGATGAATGGTAGGCGTGGACACACTTCTGATGTACACGTGACCGCGGAGTCATAGTACTTGTCTGGGGTCTGACTTTGAACTTCCAAGGTTTGAACTCCATCCGGAAATACACTAAGGGCTCCCTAGCCTGATTGATATCATGATTGGACATTCTAGACCATGGCGGGTCCGAGTCTCGAGCTAACATCTCATACAATAAATGCCACCGGCCCCCATCTCCTCGCCGGGTTTTGCCTTCTTTTCCATTTCTATTTTTTTTTCCTTTTCGACTTTGCCACTTCACAAACAGACCATACAAACTTGAACTTTCACGAAACAAGAATCTACTTGCTGACCGCTCATAGTTCCAAACAAGCTTGAGCACACCTTGTTCCGGACAGAGGAAAGTACATATTTACACATCAACGACTTTCAACCCCTAATCTACTACGCGCAAATGGATAAAAACAATGAGCAGGACTTCCATTTCTTCCCTAAGCTCCCCGCCGAGCTGAGGTTGATGGTCTGGCGGTTCTGCCTCCCGCACCGGGTGGTGGAACTAGACCGACCCTTTGGAGAACATTCGTATGCATCTCCCTGTGACGAGGGCGCAACATGCGATCTTAACATGTGCCCCCCCAGTTATTACTCGGGTATGTCGAGAATCGCGCTCGGTGGCTTGTGAATCTGCTCGATACGTCAAGCTAGAAGCCCATCCATCTCCAGATTTAAGCATGGACTTTCCGCTCAACGAATCATTATGGATCGACTACTCTCGTGATTCAGTCCACGTGAACTGGAGACCCCCGTTTGAGCTTGATGACATACATAGCCGCCCAGGGAGTCCACTTGACTATCTGGCATGCAAGGCATCCGAGGTGCAAGGTGGTTCTTTTCGATTTCATTATCTAGGGGAGGGTCGTAAAAGCCGTCGCCGAGATATCGAGTTGTGCAAAACGATGGGCCCCCTTGAAAAACTCCAACAGACGCCCTGGGGAGCGGTTATAATGCGTGTCATTGTGGTACATACCACGCGTGAACATGTTGCGAAAACTGGCCTATTCGGACTCCTTTGTGATGCTCCCATCCAGGTCGTTGGTGTTGATGATGAGAAAAGACTGGATGCGTTCTATGATCTGGCAAGGGAATGCGAGCCTTTCTCCAAATCCATCCTACCCAGACAAAGCTTTCACAGAGTCTCCGCTGACTCGCTCAGGACTACCTTGAAAAATAGGCTTCTTGAAATTACCTTCGAATCTGAACGACAACTTGAGCATGATCAAACGGATGACAGCTGGTCCGATGACTACCCGTCCAATGGTAACCGTAATGAAGACCAAGCCGAAGACAAACCTGAAGAGAAACAAACACCCCCATCCCTACACCCCGCCATCATGTTCCGATTTTGCCCAAAAATGTGCAACCTTACTCGCCCATCCTTTGAAGAAGCTGAAGCTATGGTCAAGAACAGAAATGTAAAGAAAGGCAGACCACCTATGTCTAAGGGTCGCCACAATTACCGGTCTTTTATGGCGTCGATAAATACGCGAAGCCCCTACGAATTGGGAAGATAACAGCTGCTCTATATGTGCTAATGACCAGTAATCATACTAGTATCACTAGTAGTAGCAAGGCTTTCTCAAACTAGCTTTATATACAAATATCACTCACTGTTTCAATCAACTACTAGTAGCTTTCAATACATCAGTCCTCAATTTATGTTAATACTATTGTTACTAGAATCACGCCTTCTATGGCTTGCTACTCCCATAGGGTCTGCTCTTATCCTCGCTGCGCTGATACTCCCCTTTCATCGCAATGTCGAACACCTCCTCTAGCCGGGAGATCGCCTCATCCGAAACCTCTGTAAATTGTCAGAAAACGAGAAGTACTCTCAGACCGCGACAGAAGGGGGAAATCACTTACGGTAGTGGACAACAACCCGCCCACCAAGCAATCTGAGCCCCTTTGCTTCCCCAATGACACTCAGGTCATTGGGCCCGACGCCAGACCCCTCCAGATCGAGCCAAACCATATTGGTGTGCACGGGCTTTTCCAGCTTCCCTCCCCGACTAGTCCACAACTCGGCTATGCGCTTGGCCTTGGCATGGGTAGCCGGCAGCTTCCCCGACTGCCCATGCGAATCCTTTCCAAATGTCTCGTCAAGGGCGATCCGAGCCGCAGAAGCAAAGACACCCGTTTGTCGGGCGCCACCACCAATCGACTTGCGAAACCATTTAGCCTTCTTAATGAAAGGCTGGGATCCGACAATGATACTACCGATCGGGGCACCAAGGCCCTTGGAAAAGCACAGACTGACACTGTCAAAGAGACTGGCATACTCCTCGAGGCTACCGGCTCCAGAGACCACGGCCTCCCAGAGCCGAGCCCCATCCAGGTGAACCTTAATGTCATTTTTATGAGCCCACTCAACGATACGACGGGCCTCGGATAAAGGCATGACCATGCCGCCGAGGGTATTTTCCAAGCTGATCAGCTTGGTCGGGCAATGGTGGATATCGTCGTCGAGGACTGCGTGTTTCTGGATATCTTCGAGAGTCAAATGGACGCCATTCTTCGGGATTACGGTTTGCACAGTGGCGCCGGTCCAGGCACTCACACCGCCAGCCTCGTAGCAGATGATGTGGGATCGATGGTCGCAGAGAACGGCGTGCGGTGGTTGAGTCAGGTGAGTGCGGATAGCTACTTGGTTACCCATTGTCCCTGATAGAACTAGCAGTGCATCTTCATGCTTGGTTCGCTGTGCGACGTAGCTTTGCAAGTCGTTGGTTGTTGGGTCCTCGTTGAATACGTCGTCGAGTAGGGTTGTTTGGCAAATGGCTTCGAGCATAGATGGAGTAGGCTTGGTCATGGTGTCACCTGGATCAGAGGTCAGTTAATGGCGGATATAGTTCCAACCAACACAATTCGATATCATACTCCGAAGGTCAAACTCGGCTGCACCGGCACCTTGCCAGGTGTTGATTGCCGAGGCAGTTGATGATTGAGCCATGGTGATAATTGGGTACTTGTTTCTGAGGAAGATTGAAGTGGAGGAGAGAGAAGAAGAAGGTGTAAATATTGGACGAGATACCGCAGAGCGGACTAGACGAAAGGAACGACTCATAAAGGTGTGGGTGGGTGTGTGGGTGTGTGTGTCTGTGCCAAAGACACCTGCCTCATTTGGTTGCATCGGAGTAACGCCGCGGGGAAGAGATAAGAGTCACGTGTTTACTGCGGGGTCCCAATAAAGTAGTACTACTAGTAGTATGCTTTCCACAATTCGTACTGTGTGTAAATTTGCAGAATACAGTCAGAATTGGATATATTACAGCGAATACAATAATTTGCATCATGGTGCAATAAATCACCCTATCTTCACCATTGTACTGCGTCACTATACATGTATAACATTCTCACGGGTGTACCTGACATGAGGTCACCGTGCAGCAGTCCCGCCAATGCGCCATGCCTCCTTCGGCCTAGCGCGGTTACCCGGTCTGGACCGCTGAGTCAGCGATTTCCATGCCGCGCTTCACTTCAATTTATGCGCGCATTCTTCGAGCCTCTCGAGTCTCTCCTGTCGCATCAACGATGGACTTCGCAAGTCTCACGCGACCGGCAGTCATCTGTCATTGTCGCCGTTGCTTCAGCTCTCTGGCCGTTCTTGAAAATGAATGGGCCGAAGTTTCCAACTTCTATGCCACCTCAACCGCCTGGGTGAGCGTCGACGCCGACCGTATCTCCGTTTCTTCTCAACGAAAGAGAATCCCCGATCACAGCGATGCCAGTCTCATCAGAGGTCGTATCACGCAAGAGGCATCTTGCAGAATGTGCCCGAGCTCCTCGAAACTCGGTGTTCTCGTCGAAATGGACAATGGGTAAGTGGCATGATCTTGGAAGCTACATTTCCCCTTTCTACTTTACTATCACTCTCGTCGTTGCGCTTCATCGTCTACTTACACTGGCATAGCCCCATCATAATTTGGAAAATGTCCAAAGTCTCTTTTAGAGAAGTCGTATCCATGCGTCCAACGGAACCCGTCTTCAAGGAGGGTGCAATCAACAAACTCCTTCCCCACCACCAAAGGAGACCCTGCGAAGCACCCGCAGTTCTCTCCAAGGTGGTGCTTTAATCCCCGCCGGTGGTACGGACTTTCGCTCTTTGGACCCTGTCATGCAGCACCACATGCAACACCAAGGTCGAAGCATCGATCAAATTTCCAGCTCAGTCAACAATATGCACGACACGATAGCCGACCTCAAACTCTCCTTCAACTCCCTCCGAATCGAGCTCAATGTCCCGACGCGGTACGGAGGTGAAGGCAGCGGACCCGGTTTCGATATGGTTGCCACGGTCCTAAGGGAGCTGAAATCAAAGTCGGATGAGATTGAAAAATTGAAGCTGGAGATCGAGGCGTTGAAATTGAAGGCTCGTATCGCAGAGGATTCGAAACCACATACTCCGGAATACATGGCAGGGCTCGAGGGAGCGCTGCCGCGAATGCAAAGCCCCGATCTGCTGCAGGCCGGCCGGAAGCGTGGTTGGGCAGATACCTTCTCAGCCGGAAATACACTGGCCGTCGCAGATACATTTGATGAGAATGATATGGAGGACGACCTTTCCATTACGGGCCCCCTCCCTTCCGATGGCCCACATATCCCTCTGAGAGACCTGGCGCACAACTACGAGCGTCGGCCGTGGAGCGCGGAACTCGGTTCGCGCGATATATCGATTAATCGCGAAACAAGACCTCCTCATCCCGTGCAAAGCCCAGCGAAGAAACAGCGTCTCACCCACGATCCAGTCGATTCCATTCCTTTGAAAAGACGACCTGGTCGACCTAAGAAATCTGATGTTTCCAATGAAAAGGATAAGGATTATCGAGGGCCTGGACGCCCTCGCCGCAGCGTCGTTCCTGCATCTGATGGAACAGCGGATCAAGAAACTGCAGACGATTCAAATCCCCATCAACACTACTCCACGCCAGCTGGTTACACGGTTATCCATGACCCTTCCCAAATTCAAAATGAGACAAAGGGTGGAAGCCGATCAAAAGAGGATGCAACTATGGATAACCAAAATACCCCCATGGCCTCAACTGAGACGCAAAATGGCACTACGCCAACGGAAAACGAAATAGCAGATACCCCGAAAGCCCCCTTGAATGCCATCCCGACAATTGATGCACCAAAGGGTACCAACACAAACGATGATATACCAGCGGGCGACCTAACCGCATCTCAAACCATGACTGAGAATGGAATTGACTTGACTGGTGATGCAGCTGTGAATGATCAGAAGGCCAAGACCAATAAAAATGAAGCCGCAAATGGCGCAAAGCTCGCCCGCGCTGGAAGTGGCAGGAAAAAGCGCAAGGCCAGTCTCGCGGCGCGGGACGCCATGATTCGAAACGAGATGCAGCGGGAGGAGGCAATGGAGACCGAGCAACCCGACAATGGTTTCTGATATGCACCACAGAAATTGTATGATATTTAGTAGTCCGAGTTCGCGGCTGGGCCGACGATTCCATGTCAGAGTGTATGATAGAATTCAAAATATGACTGAGTTCACCCGATAATCGGGAACAAGGGATCATCTCTTCTAAAACCAATAACCCGAAGCAACCAAAGCGACATAACTACGCCTTTGTCGGGACCTGCCCTCTCTCCCTTTGTCTCCGAATCTCCGCAGCAACCACCTCCTCCGGCTCCGGTGCCTCAATAGGGTATTTCTTAAACAAATACCCAGCAACCAGTGAAACGACACATATAGCACCCATCCAAACAGTCGTTGCACTGGCAATATGTTAATCACTGGCAGTGATTCAAGTTATGCGACAGAATTGAGAACATACCCGAATCCCGGAATATACCGGGGCGCATCATGTTCTGGCCAGAGAAAAACACCATAAATGGAAGCAGTGTTTCCAAGCGCATTAACCAAACCGATTGCGACCGCGCGCTTCTCAGCGGGATAGCAGATGATATTCGCAACCCACATCAAGACAAGAGGAGATGTGCCATAGATACAGCCGAAGGCGAAAGTGGTGAAGATATCTATGCATAGGTCAGTCTAGATGCCGAAGAAAAGATATTGTGTGGAATTGGATACTGGGACGTACAGCGGACGGTGTCGTTACTATTCGCACAGACAACGATGAAGAATATCGTCCCGATTCCGGAGAACAGGGAGATGAAGTAGGCTTTACTCTTGAAGTGATCTGCGACAAAGCAGAAGACTAATATGAACACCACAGCGCATGCGTATGGCGGAATCGTGTGATCTATAGCGGTTAGTGAATTCTCAGATCGTAAGAAACATGGGTATTTGATGATTATGGTGATGACTTACATTGTCCCTCCCAGTTCTCCCACCCAAAACTCTTAACGAGCGTCGGGATAAAGTACTGAATTGTCTGCGCCCCGGTAACAAGAGCATAGAGCAGGGCGAGAGTCCAAGTTCTCCAGTCTTTGACGACCATCTTCAGAGCTTCCTTCTCAGAGACTCTTCCGTGGGCACCTTGTGTGTTGCCCAAACCGTCATACGCAAGACGCTGGCTGGCGAGAAGTTGCTCCTCTGGCGTGAGCCAACGTGTGTTGGATGGGTAGTCTGCCATGAAGAACCAAAGAATACACCCAACAAAAGAGGATCCGCAGCCTTCAATGATCTGAGAGCCATTAGCTGTCAAATGATCTGTATGTATGTTGAAGGAGATTTATGTGAAAGCATACAAATAACCATCTCCACCCATCAATCCCTCGGGCTCCGTCCAGATATTCCGTGATAACACCCGCGAGCAACCCCGACAAACCACCAGCAACAGCCACGGCGGTATAATAGATGGCAAAACGACTGGCAAGCTCATATCGTCGGTACCTGGAAACATTAGCTTCTCAAGCTCATCGCATTGCCCAGCATGAACAGGAAAACTGGAAAGAGCTCACCAAGAGGAAAGGTAGAATGCAATGCCAGGAGCAAATCCCGACTCAACAAACCCCAAAACAAATCTCACAGCGGCGAGTTGTTTCCAATTCTTCGTCGCGGCCATTGATGCAGCAACTACCCCCCATAACAGCGCGAGACCGCAGAGATACAAAGACGGTCGCACGCGGGCGATTATCATGTTGGAGGGGACCTCGAAAATGACATAGGACACGAAGAAGAGTAGGAGGATGACGGAGTATTGATTTGATGTTAAATGAAAGTCATCTTCCAAACCGCCGGTTTTGGCATTTCTAGAAGCGTTCATTGTTTTAGAAAGAGCTCTATGAACGGAATGTGGGCATGAATGGAATGGAGTAGAATGATTTACCCGATATTCGCGCGGTCTAAATAACCCAAAACAAAAAGAATCCAACAACAAGGCTATAGATGATGACGGGATTAGTGTGATGAAATAAAGACAAGATGCTGCTTGTGTCCGCTTACGATGATGCGAAAATCAAGTTTGCGCAGTAACCTCTTCTCCTCCGGTGATCCGGGGACATAACTCGCAGCTAAAGAGATAGCTGTAGTATGATCGATACTCTCCTCCCATTCTTGGGTAGACTTTTCGTCAAGGTGATGAGCAGCCATTATTTTGCGTTAGCTGACTCTATTAGCACCAATGAAGAAATACATTCACGAATGGAAGATGGGAGGCATGTTTGCTTTTTGTACCTTTTCTCCCTCTGCTGATCATCATGTCTCCGCAGTTGAGAGAAGTGGGGAAATGCAGAATCCGGGGTAGACAGAAGTCGGTTGCAGAGTCGGCGATTTACCGGTCTGGATCTGCAAGCTTTGCGGAGATGCTGAGCGTTGTCGGTGAGCTTGAGATCGGGGATTTGCCGATACTGTACGATTGGGGGAAGGGCAGGGGCATATATGACCCTCAAGAAGGGAATTTGTTCATTTCTGGCGAATAATGTCTTTTCATGGGAACAACGTCGAGTGTATTGGCCATTCTTATGTTGCCATCCGCACTAGTCGGTGCAAGCCCGACGGGGTTATGGCCGATGATGTCCGGTCCAGGCTTGTCAGAACTAGATCCCAAGAGTAACTTTGCAAAGCCTTCGAAGGACGGAGGAAGTACATTTCAAACCTCGACTTCTAAATCTAAACTTTTATTTTCATCCCCCATCCTTGATAGAATTAATCATGGCCATCTCGTGAGATTGGCCGATCAGAGTGATGAAATCTTAGAGGACCTCATCACCACACCAAAGCCACCAAGCAGTGCAGAAATCCCAGTGAAGACAATCAAAGGACCATAGCCAGACCCATATGCCTTCGCAGCTGCTCCCTTCCATGCGTCGTTCTTCAGCAATGCTTCGCTAAGCGGACCGCTGACGACGTTTCCAATTCCTCGACCAGTGGACAAAAATCCGAAGACAATGCTAGGGTCGGTATACGCACTCTTCTTTCGAACATCATTTACGATGGCAGGCCAGGTAGAGGTAAAACACCCGGCAAATAGGCCGTAGAAGATGCAGAATATGTAGAGAGGAGGAAGAGAATCGGCGAATCCCCAGATCAAGAATACTGCAATGGTACTTCCGACGGTGGACGCGAGAATACACGTTGTAGCATGGAATCGATCTACCATTGATCCCATGGCGATGCAGCCGAAGACAGAGGCAAGGTTGAATAGGATGACCGTCAAGGTTGCTTGGAGGCCGCTTGCCCCGAGGGTGCGAGCATAGGTGGGAAGATAGATAGTCGGGAGGAAGTAGCCCATGGCCTCGAGAATATTTCCAGTCTCATATATCATGAATGTTGAGTTCCACAAGAAGCGGAAATCTAGTGGTCGAGAGCGCGAGGTACGGGAAATGGGAAGTCGAGGGCGAACGAAGTAGAGAAGTGGACCGCCCATGACAAGGAGAATGATAGACCAGGCCCGAAGAGCTGTCTGATGGCCAAAGCTATCCAGTAGCCACTGCAGGACAATTGGCAGAATAACACCTGATACCCCGGTTCCGGCCTAGATGAGATATCAGCATTGATACTGTTGGAAACGAGGCAATTCAATCGGTGTTGGTTATACCCACCCACATAATGCCAAAGGCAAGTCCCTTCCTTCGCACAAACCAGTCATCCATGAAGACAATGGTTGGCGCATACGCCAAACTTGACCCAATTCCATATGCGACACCTTGGGAGACAATGAGATGAGTTGTCGTCTTGGCAAAAGAGCTCATTGCCAGCGCGAGACACATAATCAGAAAGCCCAGTGGGGCAGCCCATAGCTTGAAGCGGGGAAGACCCTGAATCATAATGAAGGCGAGGGGCAAGAGCATGTAGGAAATACCCTGGTAGTCAATGAATCAGGGTGATGGATGCATAAAATATTTTCGGTAAAGGAAATCTCACCATCGCACAAGTGCCAACCACGGCAATGTCTCCAGAGCTCTTGAAAGGCTCATGGGTGCTATAATAATCCTGGAAAATTCCATAGGAGAATGTGAACCCTATATCCGACCACGATGGTTAGTGAATAATTCAAGTCCAGGCCATGATAAACAATACTATGTAGTATACATGCACATACCCCAGATTAAAGCTTCAATCATGAAACATGCTGCAAGGAAACCCCATGCACCGCGGCCCCGATCCACTGGTGGAAGGTTGGCTTCGTGCAGATCAGCAGTGCTGCCATCGGGGGACACTTCAATTTGCTCCATGGGGATGATTACTAGCAGGGAGGACCAGGGATATAAATCATGCCAGATGGAAAGGAAATCAATAGCTTTTAAGTCGGACTCAAATGGCAAACTTTTACTTTTGGGGCCCGCCTCCGCCCTTCTTTTGACAAGGCGGGTCCAATGTGGAGTCACTCCAACTATTTAAAGAGCTCCACCGCCACTCGTAGGGTGTAGGGTGCAGATGAGATGATCAGGCTCGACTTCCTACTCCTGACCACTGAAAGCAAAGCGCAAGTCGGATTTTGGGAGACTGAAGAATCCAAATCGCTTGTGAGAAAAAACAACATTGTCGAAATGAACTTTTATTTTCTTTGGCTCGTCTATAATTTGAGTGATTGGATTATGATAACCGAAATGAAATCTATCTAATATGCATGTTGCTTGCGTTCTTGGACAAATCGACTATTGCACCTTGCCCCGAGAATCAACGGGCCAGATCTCCTCAATTACACCATTGCGATGCGCATAATAGAAATCATGCAGGTTGACAGTGGGGTCGATATGGCTAGGAAGCATCTCGACACGGTCACCAACCGACAGAGCCGGTGAGCCCTCCTCCCACATGAGAGAGCCATGTTCATCGCCCAGGACACCATATTCATACCTCGAGTCCTTGCACTCGGCCAGGCCACTGTCTGTGGTCAACGACTTGAGACCAGTGTCGATTGTAACTGCTCGGGGGCCTTGTTGGCTGATAACTGTTGACAGAAGAACAAGACTGTGGGAGAAGAAGGAGCCAACAGCATTGCGGTAGTCAACGTCCATAAAGATGAAAGAACCAGGCTGAAGCTCAGTGACACCAGGAACGCTGGCGCAGAACTCAGCAGTGCCGGTTCCACCGGTGGTAACAACCTCGATGTTAAAACCAGCTTTTCGGAATGCATCGGCAGTGCCGGTCAGAGTGGCCATCGACTCCAGACACTGCTTCTTGCGGTCCTCGTAGTCGTGCAGATGTTGTAGATGACCCTCATATCCTTGGACGCCGATCAGGTTCAAGTGCTTGAGCCCTCCAACGTGTCGTGCCAGGGCAAGAGCCGGCTCGCCGGGCTTGACGCCAGTGCGGTGCAATCCGACGTCGAGATCAATCAGAGTTGTGATGGGCTCCGCGATGCCCGACTTCGCCAGTGCATCGTTGATGGCCGAAGCACCAACTTCGCTGTCGACAACAATGCGAATCTTAGGGTACTTGCGGTACAACTCCACCAAGCGCTGGACCTTGACGGGGCCCACAATCTCGCAAGTGATGAGCAGATCATCAAAGCCCGCTGCAGCGATAGCCTCCGCCTCGCTAATTTTTGCGACACAGCCTCCCTTAGCTCCAGCCTTTGCGAGTTTGCCAGCGAGGATTGCGCTCTTGGTCGTCTTCAAGTGAGGGCGGATGTTCAGGCCGGTGGGAGGAGCTTATCCATGAGCTTCTTAATATTGGCCTCCATGAGATCCAGATCCACGATCATGGAGGGAGTATCGAGGCTATCGACGCGATCGCCGACTTTCGGAGAATAAGGCATCTTGGAAACGGGATTGATCGACTATGGCTGCTTGGGTAGTGAGTATGTTTGTCGTAGAAAATAAATCGAGGGGTAAAAAGGTGGGGGGAGTTGGCAATTTATGTGGCTGCAAGGGGGGAGGGACACGGTGACATGCAGATCAGGACTGCTAGAGAGGGACCCGACAATGTTCCAATGTGTCCGAGTCCCTGACGAGAGACTGGGTGTTATCACCAATGCTACCCCAGGTCCATCCCCGAGTGGGATGGCATTGCTGATTCGCGCAGCAGGCGGGCATCCACTAGAACCGGTGGATACCCCCGCGCTAGAAGGTGGTGTCAACCCCCACACATCGGCGCATTGCCGAGATGAGAATCCCGAGGGAAACTGTGACAATCACCCTTGAAATTGACGGGAATGACTATGAAAATGCCACTAGGGTTCAGCTCATAGGATTTTCCAAGACTATTCGTGTCAGAGCTAAGTGCGCGGCTGGAACTCCTTCGGCTACCGAATGCGGATATATCCGAGTTCCAGTCGGACAAAGCACCTGTCATTAAACTTGAGGTCATTGGAGTGGGCGATGATTGGTTTAATCTTTAATCAGGGATGTATCCTAAGGTTCTTTGTTTTTCAAACACCATTGTTAAATCCCTAACTCGTTGTCTCCAAACTCTATGAATGACTCGAGTCACGGTCCTTCCGAGTAGTAACTACTAGTACTACTCAGAACCTTGGAATTTCTTTGATTCGAAACACACCTAGGTATCCATGGATATATATATATTCATCACCTGGCATGGATCAAGTATCAGAAAAAGGCCATTGGTCTCGAAGACCCTTCCAAGGTTTCAAGAAACGATTCAAACTTGAACTTTTTCCACCTGGGCACGGTTCTGAATTCCATCTGCGCAGTACTACTAATTACTAGTAATCGAGCACCTGGTACTGGTACTTCTAGTAGCATTATAAATATCCATATTTCCAGAGGATGCCAAAAGTATTCAAGTTAATCATGTTTTCAGAACTTCCCACCGAAATCATACTAATGATTGTTACTGAAATGTCTGACACAGGGTCCGTTAGTCGCCTAGCACGAACCAGTCGCCGTTTCTCGGCAATCGCAGGTAATTATCTCTTCAAGTGCGCAGTCCGGGAACAAGACGACAGATTGCTGAAAATGGCGGTCCTCAACGACAATAGGTGCATTATTTTGCGGGCCATGGAATTCGGCCCGGATCTCAATGAAACCTTTACCATCAGTACGATGGAGCTAATCACACACTGCCTAGCACCAGAAAACAGGGCGGTCAAGGGCATTGCTACTCCTTTAGGCCTGGCAGCTCGAATGGAAAATCATGACATGGTTGATTTCCTTCGTGCAGGAGGTGCGCGTGTTGGGGGTTGTTGGTGTCTGAGGATGGTCTAGGATGGTGGACCTTAGCCCTAGCGGCATGGTCTCATAGCTAGAGCTGATCCCTTACTAGGTAGTAATTGTTGGCATCCCTGGAGGGTTCAAGTTCTGGATGGCGTCTTGGATTTTCAAACTCATAGTACGCGGGTAGCTGTAATTATTATAGTAGTAATTGGAAACTCTTTTCTTTTGAGTCCAACCTTAGAGATATATCTCTTTAAGCTAACACACCTGGAAAGCCTAGTACTATGCTCGCTTCAAGTTTTGATTACAGAGAACACTACTATTTATCGGATAACTCGATCTGTTTTATCCTAAGACCCCGGGCTGATAAATTGCCACGGCTATCCGACTTTAGAATTGACCAGAGCGGGCAGTAGTAATTGCATAGAAGCATCTCCAACCGTCTTATTGAATTGATATATAGTCACGGCCACGGTGCCAAACAAGATGATAACACCTACAAAGCAAAGAAATCTATATTTCCCGCTTCTCACGGCGATTCCTTCGAAGGCCGAACATCTGTAGAATTTCCGTCCAGAAGCCAGGGGCGTATTCAGTAAACGAGGCCTCATACGCGTCAATCACAGGTCTATCCCAAATAAGATCTGCTTCATGTGCCTTGATAAATTTCGTCCGTTTGATAAGTTTCCATCCGAAGAACAACACGGGCGCAATTAAAACCATGGTGTAGTATGTGAAGAAGTCGCCGACAGCCCAGTTTCCGGGCAGGAATGTAGAGTAGCCGTATGTGCAGACGATCATCGTCATCCAGACCAACCCAACCCATGCTGAGTAGGGTTGGAAGTAGCCATAGTAGGGCAGAGTGCGACGATCAATGTTCTGTGCCCTCAAGGCGCGGTAGAAGAATATGTATGTGATACAAATGATAATGTAGTCAATGACCTGCGCGGCTGTGATGATATTTGTCAACCAGGTCAAAACCGTTGAGGATCCCTTGGATACATTGAGGAAAGCGAGGAAGGGGAAAACCATCACGACCAGTAAGCAGTAGATGGGAACCCCCTTCTTGGTGCACTTTCTGAAAATCTTTGGTGCCTGTCCTTGTAGGGCGAGTCCGTAGAGACTACGAGCTCCATAATAGGTGTAGGCGTTGCCAGCGGAGAAAATGCTAGTCACCAATAGTGCATTCGTGATATGCGGGAGTACTGAGATGCCAAGGTTATTCATAGCGATAACATAAGGCGAGGCGGCAGCGGTTCCAGAGCCAGCGGCGGAGCCTGACAAAATATCCAAGAGAGTCTTGTCGTTATAAGGGATGACAATTCCCACACATAGCGCACTTCCGATGAAGAAGAATGCGAATCGGAGGTATGTAGTCTTGAAAGCAGTCTTCAAGTATCTTCGAGGTAGCTTTGTCTCACCAGCTACCATGGCCATATACTCGGGTCCGACAATGGTGAAAGAGGCACTCCAAAGCGCACCGAGAAATCCTTCAAATTGACCCAGTGGCCCCGTTGTGATATATTCTGCGAATGACCCAGGGTTATTCCAGTATCGGAATCCATAAGCGTCGTGTTTCGGATTACCCCCGACCATTGTAATGAATGTGAAGAGGAAGACGATGAGGATCAGGATGACCTTTCCTGTTGCGAGCCAAAATTCTGCTTCACCATACCATTTCACGGTAAAGGCATTGAGTATACTAAAATAATTAGCGCTGAACAGATCGACCGGGTCGGGGAGCAACACACAAGTAAATCACGATACAAGCAGCGACTACTGCTTCCACCGGAATGTCATCTCGCCAGAAAGTCAATACCAAGTTAAGGGCCGTGATCTCAAATGGAATCAGTAAGACCTCGTAGAGGAAGAAGTTCCACCCGGCCCAGAAGCCAAAGGATTCATCAACCCATCTACCAGCCATGCGAATAAAAGCACCACTGATAGGCATAAAGACCGCCATTTCAGCCATGCAGTTATTGACAAGTCCCATCATACAAGAGTAAATCGTGTAGGCCAAAAACAAACTACCCGGCCCACCTTTCGTCAAGCCGGCTGTAATGCTCACGAAGGTCGCCGTACCAATCGAACCACCAATGGCAATCAACTGGATCTGACGATTGCCCAGATGTCGTTTCAGCTGATCATTATTGTCAATAACAGTCGCGACATAATGTTTATCATTTTCGGTGTCGGGAACAGCTTCCGCGACATCCTTCTCGTTCACCCCCATCTCGACTTTGTCCCTGTCATAGCTCGCCATTGAAAGGAAGTGGGTATTCTGACTCCACAATGTGGATGTAGGAAAGAGAGTACGTGGGGATCTCAGCAGAGCTAAATGTATATAGCTCCCTGCTGGTACATAAAGACCCCGGATCAGAAGCGCGCACCACCCTTGTTTAAATACTAATAAGCCGCCATCCCCTCATTCGAAAGTTGAACCAACCCTCATCTTCCTGCTCGCTAGCCCTCCCGTATCAAAGGCCCGTGTGCCGAGCCCAGTTATCGTCCAAAATATATAGCAGGGTTCTTATTCGCCTCAAGCCCTCCTCACCCACGCCAGCTTTGGCTTGAGAAAACTTAGGGCCGCCACTGCACCAATGACAGCCCTTTCCCCGCAACTTTGTCTGAGTATCTTCCTATCGCGTGGGAAACTTAATGAGGACAGAAATCGGGAGCCCTTCCGATGGCCAGCTCGCTGGAGATAACCCCTGTCGTTGATATCCCGAACGGTCGGTTGAGCCGACGCAAAAGCGTGGCGTAAGATAAAGGCGTGCGCTGGTATCTAGCATGAGATTCTCGCATCGATTGATAAGACAGAGAACTTATTAATTCAGGGATAGATAGAACGCTGCAGGTAAATACCGCAACACCTACTCGTTTCAAAGATAGAGATGGGCCCATCTCAAAGGTGGTTGACAGCCATGAGTACGTACCCACCTAGGCATGAGATGAGGCTATCCCCTTTCCACTTTCTCTCCCGCCCGGCTTACTTTCGCCACCGCCGTCAAAGGGGCGCTCGCACGAACTGGGCGCGGGGAAATTTGCGCGAGGGTAAGATGCCTATAAAGGGCAGGTGTGGCACCGTACAACTTGTGACGAATATTGGAGGCAGACTGAGAGATACCCAGCAGGTGTATTATCCATGAAAGAGATCCATGCTCGCGATTTGGAGCCTCTTAGGGCCCTTTGTCAGACGACACCAAGCTCGTCTCATCAAAGGGGCGGCAAGGATTTGATGGAATACGGGAAAGGGGCTGTATCCCTCAAAGCTGAGTGTTAGGGCTGTGTCTGTGTCCGTCGCGTGGTCCGAAACTCCAGGCCCAACCACCCGAGGATCTACAATCGGAAAAGGCGAAACAAGTCGGGAAACCTGCTTCTGGCAGGTTAAAATAGTTGTTTTGGTATCATGTAGAATTTACATATCCGATCTTTCATTTGACACACATAAATCCACAACCCTCGCGGGCCCGCTCGCAGGCCTTCTTCAGGGCTTGCTCTTCCGTATCCGTCCACTTCACGCTAAGTTCATCCCAGGGTTTACGCGAGTTAAATTCCTCGCGATATGTTCTGTGCATCGCTTGCAGACGACTGACCTCGCGCGGGTCGCCGGTGCCAGTGTAGACAATAAACATGGTACAAGGTGGGAGAGACTCGTAGATGCGGGTGATGTCGGTGACGGTTTGGGTGACGGTTTCCGCAAGAACATTGTCTCCCGGAGCGGCACTGGTATTATCTCCAATGCTTGTTGTGGGGGTGGTCTCCTCTGGTGGAGGAACCAAGGTCGTAGAAGAATTGGCATTGTTAGGGTCCGGGCACGGTTGCACCAACCGCGAAGGTGTTCAAGATTGCGGAGGCGCGCCCACGTAAAATCAACACCGCCACCTGGAATAGAAGCGTTCGAGTCATCGCCGTTGACGGCCGCTGCAACACCATTGACAACGTCATTATCGTCGCGGCATCCGATTGAGGCAGTCGCCTGCGAACCAAATCCTCTCTCGGGACTGCCCCAGTCCACTACCGCACCGGTGCGTCCCTCGCCAGGGGTCGCGGTTTTTCCTACCCGGGTAGACCGACCAAGTCGGCGGAAAATACTTTCGTTTGATGCATCACTGGTACCCCATCGCTCTCCCTTTTCACACTTTTGTTTGACCAGTTCAAGGACTGCTCGAGCGTCCTCGACCGAATCGTGGCCATTTCCACCCTTCTGAATCTCCTTATTCACATACTTCTGGGTAAGCCACTTAAGGCTACATTTTAGAGGCGGACCACGGGGTGGGGGTAGATGATTGCAGTGTCGACAATGAAAGGGTGTGTAAGTTTGAGTGCCGCAAGGTCGGAATTCAAAGAATGACCAATCAGAATAGACTGGGGTGTCAATATCGTAAGAAGACGTTGTTGGATATCGGCCAATGTAGTAGTAACCGGATCAAGCATTTCCTTTGTGATACCGGAATACTGGGTGAGGTAGTTGGTTACGGGCCGCGAGGGCTGAACCAGCTCGTCCAGAACAACCTCACCGTCCCAGCCAACAAGACTAATACGAGCCAGTTCAGACTTATCTCCTTCGGTCAGACACATTTCGCAATCCAGGGATAGGACCATTCGTCCGGCCGTCACGCTACCACTTTCAATCTCGGCATCCGGAACAATCCCAGCATCCAGGTTGGCAACGTCCGTGTCCACCCAGCCATCCTCTGCAGCTCGATTGTTGCGTCGACGTGATTCGGCATCTTGCTCCTTCTCAGCGTCTGAACCAAGAAGGGCCGGGTGAAGGGGATATTCGCTATCACGAAGATCCTCCAAGGAACTGATGAAAGTAGTGATGGGGGTTCGTTTGAAGATCGCGCTCTTGTCGACTCGCGGTGGGCGGGCACCTTTACGGCTTGACTCATCCTTTGTCTTGGGAAGCGCCGACATTAAGATAGCTTGCAAAGGCGAGTGCACTTTGTTATATTTGTTATCGCCAGGGGCCTTGACGGGCCAAACATGAGGAAACATATTGCTCAATGGGCGGAGGGGTTCGGGCAAGGTACTTGATGCAAGTGCTCTAGGATTATAGCGATGCGATCGGTCTGGAGGTGGAAGACCTTCTTTCCAATTTTGAAAGTCTTCATTTCGTCTATCGTCGGAGGTATCGTGTTCTTGGTTTGAGTCGCCGGAAGGAACCTTTTCCTCGCCATTATTATCGCAATCGCCGGCGGTAATTGGCTTTAGTGGGATGGTGCCGTCAAACATGCCGATTTCCAAGCCCGGCACCATCAAGACGACCACCTTGCGCACATGGCCGGAGTGTTTGACAGCGATCCATTGCGGTGCAATACCATCTGCGAAACAATACAGTAGAAGGCCTTGGAGGTCTGAAATTCGAATTGATGACTGTAGGCGGCCTTCAACGTATGTCAAGACGGGGTATTTGGTCTTCTCGCCGTCCGCACGCCTCTTCTTGCTTGAGCGCGCCATCTCGCCTGAGCGCTTCTTTGTTGAATCGTCGGTCTCGGGGGAGGCTTCGTTTAGGCGTGCGAGTGTATCAGCGACACCCATGCCATTGTCTCGGGGTTCTGAGACGGGATCGTGGTCATCATCGCGCTTTCTCTTTTGTTGTCCAGGCATGACTTGAGGAGGTGTCTGTCAGTTGGAACGAAGCAGTCTCAATTCGGCAAACGACTGGGAAATTCGCGATGCTCACGTGGTGATAAGCAGATAAGAAGTGGATAATTGCCACGTGATCTTTCAACCTAGGCTGAATTCAGAGATCACGTGCCAAGATCGGATAAGCGGGACCCCGTGACCGGCTTGACCATACAATGACCATACAATACGCATCTGATAACGCAGGATCGCCGGAAAATTCACCCTCCACTCTCGTCACGCCATCTTCCGCCCCGGACAACTCTGATTCTTTCATCATCATCCAGAGGCATTCATCCCTCTATCAAATCGACTCTGCAGACTCTCCAAACAACCGCCGAGGGCCTCACCTGTTTCGACCAAGTCTACACTCCCCGCTCCTACCATCTCCCTCCTCCGCACCGTTCACACGCGACCCCTCAACGATGTCGTCCCTCACCGAAGTCCCCTCAGAGGACGCCTTCGCGCAGCACATGAGCAATGCCCCTCCCGAAACCCTCATAGTCCTCTACTTCTACGCTTCATGGGCCGCACCCTGCACACAGATGCGCAATGTCCTCAGCGCCCTCGCCTCGCAGTACCCCGCCACAACCCCACCAACAGTCTCGTTTGTCAGCATTGACGCCGAGCAGTTGCCCGATATCTCAGAGGAGTACGATGTATCCGCCGTGCCATTTGTCGTCTGCGTGAAGAACGGAGAGATTTTGGAATCCATCAGCGGCAGTGACGCTATCAAAGTTCGCGATGCTATCGAGCGCCATGTTGGTGGTGGCGCCCCCGCCGATGGTGGTCACAGAGCGCATATCCCTCCTCCTCTCTCGGCGGTTGCCCGTGAGAATGGCCCTGCGACTGCCACTCAGCAGCCTGTTTCTACCCCCGATGGCTCGGTTGGACCTGCTGCTAACGCGGTCCCGGTCTCCGCTGACCCCGCTCTCACACCCGAGCAGTCGAAAGAAGCCCTCTTTGCCCGCCTGGGCGAGCTTGTCAAGGCCGCTCCCGTCATGCTCTTTATGAAGGGTACCCCCAGTTCCCCGCAGTGCGGTTTCAGTCGGCAGCTGGTTGGTATTCTACGTGAGCGCAGTATCAAGTATGGATTCTTCAACATTCTGGCCGATGAGGATGTTCGTCAAGGTCTGAAGGAGTTTGCGGAATGGCCTACTTTCCCCCAATTGTGGGTCGCCGGAGAGCTGGTTGGTGGTTTGGATATTGTGAGTCTTATCTTCTCTTTCTTGCTTCTTGCTTCTTGCTTCTTGTTCTTGTTTTCCACTAGAAACCCCTACTAACATACTCTTCTTTCTTTAAGGTCCGCGAGGAAATCAATGCAGACCCTGACTTCATGGGAGAATACTCTGTCAATAAGCCCGTAGCTTGAGTTAGTCCCTGGATGATACCCTTTCCTTGCCTCGGGGCTGGATGCTGTATTTCCGCCGTGATGATATACGTTTTTCCTTGATATGAAAAAAGAGAGCTAGTTTAAGAGATTTGTAATTCTTCAGGTCATACGTTTCAAATAGAGATATTGCACTCGGATGAGTCGGCTTACCATTCCTGATAAGAGGGAACTTGCCAAGTATTGCCAAGTATGCAGGCTGAGCAGGGACACAGTGTAAGATGACTATCCACGAACTAGTAAAAGCTGCGATATTCGCCATGGCATCTTTCTTTGCTGTTTACTAGCTTCGCCAATTACCAAGAAAGGTGAATTCAAAATGACACGGTATAAACCTTAAAATGCTATGCTTCTTCGCTATGTCTCTGTCTATCCAGTTGAACTGGTCTCATCCACATTTTCCGCCTCTGCATGTTGAACTTGAGATTGCTGCATAGCAGCAATGGCGATCTCCTTTTCCTTCGCAATACGGGCCTTGATTTTTTCTTACAGACCTCATCGGATCGCTATCTTTCCACTGCGCAGGGAACTTCTTCGCATGCGTGGCAAAACTAGATAGCAATGCATCCTCATCCACATACGCGCCGGCTAACCAGCGTGAACCAGACGAGGTATTAAACTTGTTCCGAGCATGGACAATTCGTCGATTGGCGAAAATCACACACTCGCCGGGATTAAGCTTCAGCTGGAAAATCGAGGACTTGCTTTCCAGTAGATAGGTAAATGTCTTTAGCGCATGTCTCCATTGGTTGAAATGGATATGATTGCAGACGCCCTTATCTCTGGATTTCGGAATTGGCGCTTGGAATGGAGGGGAATAGTTGACGTTGCGAAGTTGCCCGGTCACCCTGTCCACTTCAAAAAGCGGTCGCGCGTTGCTGTAGATGTGGTCGTTGTGCATATATTCAAACCCGAAAAGCCTTCGGGTCAGTGTTTTGTACTCGGTGGGATAATTTCTCTTCATTATGTCGGCTACCCGAAACGAGTCGGCGAAAAGTGACTCGCCTCCCTCGCAGGAGTTCTCCAGGCAATGCAGTAGTTGATATCCGGGTGGCTCGTTCATGTATAGTAGATCCATGTGGAAGCCGAGGTGTTGGTTTGTGTAGGCGACGTTCTTGGCTTGCGGCACTGTACGCACGTCCCATGTCTCCCCGTAGAAAGAGTTCCGCACAGGGCCCATACGTTCCGAGATCTTCTTCACCAGCTCTCGGGATTTCGGGATATCCTTGATAAAAATTAAGCCCATGCGCTGGAGATTGCGCATTGACTCGGCGAATTTGCTATCGTTTGACATGTAGTCGTCAAAGGAAACCCAGTGTTGGAGGTCCCTCATCATCACGTCACCCCAGATAAGGGGTTTGGTGGATTTGGAGACGTTGTCATGAGTGTTGGTAGGGCCGGCCATCAGGGTCGGGATGTCCAAGGATGTGCTGTGAGTTTCGTCATACCCAGAAACATCGTTGGCCCATTTGATATCCAAAGTAGTCCCATCCCAGCTCATGTGGCGCGGATAGATCTTGCCGGGAATGTCGCTGCTTCGGAACGAGCGCTGCTTCGAGTGCGGGTCGACACAGCGCGGGCATCGACAGACATCACGCAGGTACCAATATGGAAAGGTGGAGAATCCATGGACGAACGACCACAAGTGCAAGACATCCCGTTCGGCAGTAATTCGGTTTGGTTGGGCGACGTTCACCTCAGTGAAATCGCTTCCTCGGCTAGATCTCTCGTGCGGGAAGCTGAGATGACGGCTCTTGTCGATTAATGCCTGTTGCGATACACGTTCCATCAATTGAGACAAATGGTCCTGGGCTGTGGGAATTCCCTCGGAATTGAACCGTTTGGCCGAGGAGACGAAGGTACGCAGGGGAAGGCCCGCCCGGCCCGTGCGACCTGGCGAAGTACTCCCGAGGGTAAAGGACGCATTAAATGGAGGAATTGATGCAATGATGCAGAAGAATGAAGCAAGAAATCAAAGAGGTTGTGGATTGTGGAGGGAAGAGAGAGCAACATGTGATGCGGTCGACCCCAGACTCTCCGCCCACGCGGGGAAGTTACCCGTTTCGTTCAGGGCCGAGGTCCATCGAGGCAGGTTGGGCGATACCCCAACTACCTTGGCAATTCGTATATTCGATCGATGGTTTTCTGTAGTGTGAAGAGGTAAATTGACTCATGCTCTTATATTTTGCCTCGATCATATATATTAGACCGATTTCAATAATGCTAGCTTGTCAATTTCAGTACTATTCCAACAACCTAAACGGGACCGGATATTCTATCTTCCGGTTTCCTGTACCAACGAGATTATGTAATACTCATAGTAGGCTCTTATTGATCAAGCGTAACTATAGAAATAATTCTCAATCAATACGAGTAAAGTCTATAAATGAATGACTAGTGCCGCCTGAGAAACGGACATCGTTGGCCCCACATCTTGTCGAGGCAGAAATACCACCGTACAGAACCCAAACTGTGCGTGCGCACTTTTTTGGTTGAATGGCACGACACATCTGGCGATTCTTTCCAATTATGGGCGGCCAAAACGGGATAACCCTGGCTCGGCCGCTAACACTCGCCCAATAGATGGGCCACGGATCCTACCCCCTTCCCAGTCAATCGTCTCAAATTTGAAGCTGAAGTTGTAATTGTCCCCGATGAACTGTAAAACTCGAATCAATTAGCGTGCCGGTAAAATTCTTCCACGGTACCATATATATTTAGGCCCCTCCCTATGTGGATGGCTTGAGTCGGTCTCACTTGGCGCCACACGTGGACCTCTTTTTGTTTCTTTGTTACCCAGTGATTGTTTTTATTGAGACAGGCTGATTGAAGCACTTTTTTCTGTCAGCTGTTACTCCAGTGAGTGCCAAATTTCACCAGAAACGGCATTTCTAGCATTTTACACACTTGACTAATGCGATGTATTCCCTCGTGCCGAAGGCTATACGAGTACGCTTTGCTATCGTAGGAATTATTTTATTATGCATACATTTGAGTCTCTTCCAACTGCACAGCCCCGCGTCTCAGTTTAACCATTCCGTTACGGACATATATGGGAAACAAGTCGACTGGACACGCTTTGCATACATCCAATATGTGACCAACACAGAGTACTTGTGCAATTCAGTTATGCTTTTCGAGACTCTTCATCGTCTGGGAGCGAGGGCTAATAAGCTTTTGAGGTATCTATCTCATTTCTCTGTGGCAACTGACGATGATTCTACCGAAGTCCGTTTGCTTCGTCACGCTCGGGATGTATATGGAGCAAATCTCAAACCAATACACGTCCAGAAACGGAAAGGGGCCGATGGAAGTCTCCGAGAACTCCTAAATTAAATCCCTTTATAAAGCGATCAACTCACAGGATAAATGGTCATGTGCGGAATGGTCGGCTAATAATGAGCAGCTACCTGGGCCGAAAGCTTCACAAAGCTGCTTGCTGTTAACCAAACTGAATACGACCGTGTTCTTAGTTTGGATTCCGACTCGATCATTTTGCTGGTTCGGGATTGCCCCTCCCTCACTCTTCGAGATAAATTAATCTAATATTCTGCTTGCGCAGACTATGGATGAATTATTACTACTGCCGCCAAGTCCAGTGGCCATGCCGCGAGGCATACTGGCTCAACCAAAGTGAACGTATTCTCAGCTCCCAAGTCATACTCATAGAGCCATCACACTGCGAATTTGATCGGATAATAGAGTGTATCTCCGCTGCTGGCGGGATCAATTATGATATGGAGATCGTGAACTATCTTTCTAAAGATAGCGCTACTATCCTACCGCATCGGCCCTACAATCCTTTGACGGGAGAATTCCGGTCGGAAAGGCATGAAATATATCTCGGGAACCCAATAGAAGCTTGGGATTCTGCACGTATCTTGAATGAGACGAAATATGTTCATTTCTCTGATTGGCCTGTTCCAAAGGTCTGTACCCCTTCTTTGGCTACAGTAGCCTAGCTACATATTTATGCCACAGCCCTGGAGTTCGCTACTGGTTCTGACAACGCTTCTAGCCATGGGTTGACGCTGATCCCAAAATTATAGAGGAAAAGCAACCCACGTGTGACCTCAACCCATTGACCAGAATCGAAAACAAGTATCGGGATATAGACATTTGGCGGGGATTATATGATAACAATAAACAAAAACGGCATGTATGTTAATTCATCATCGTCGCATGCATGACCGTTCGCTGATACTAATGAATAGGAAATTTGCGACCTCGCTGTAGGACGTCTTGCGAACTTGGTTTCCAAAGGATATTCATAATCAATGATAGCGCATATCAATTTTGATTCTTGGTATTTTGCCAGGTTAAAATTGATGTATAATATTCATTTATTTAGTGAAGCGATATTATTCCATTTAGTGTCCCAAAAGTTGATAGCTTATCGGTAGTAGAAGACAATGTATAGGTGCATCAATGGTATCAGGAGAGGAATAACCTGATGGGAATAAGGAAGATGAGGCGATAGCTATCACTAGTGTAGGTATAGCGGTATGCATATGAAGGGCCCATGGTCCGTTTAGCAAAAAGGGTGGTCCATTTAGCAGCCCTCGCAAAGTCGTCCCTTCATACTCAATCCTACCGGGCAGACAAACATTCATCTAGAGGCATTTGGTGTGTTTCCCAATGTCTCTAGATACCGATATAGCTCCACGAACGAAGTCAACCATTCTTCTTCCTTGTGATCAAACGGCTCATTTCCGGCATATTCTCGTGGTCGTCGCCATTGTTTGATTGTTCCGAGTTTGTGAGGCGCGAAAAACGGTCCATGCACCAATTCATCCAAAATCAAATTTAGTTTCTCGGACCAAGGTGTATTTCCTGTTCGGAACGTATAGCGATTGTCATTCCTGACTTCAAGTTGAAAATGCCTATATAGGTCTGGATCTTTGGACCAGAAAGTGTGATGGTAGGCCATACCATCAATCACCACACTAGCAAGCCGATGGACCTCCGGGTATGCTGCCGTCCGCAAGAGGAGGAACCATCTTTGTTGAGCAAAAGTACACCCGCGGCGGTGATATCAAAATAATCCATCATTCGAAGCAACTCTGTCAAAGAAGTGTCAAAGGGAGTCAAAGGGAAAAATGTGTAGCGATAGTACTCGGTGTGCACTTGGTTCTGCAAATTGCTCTTAGCAATTTTGTCGGCGACGAGGTTCATTCTGGCGGTGATGTGCGCAGTGTTTGGTCGCCTTTTTTGATTTGGGTCCAGGGTTCGTTTCAAGAGATCGGGATTGTTTTCCAGCAGTGTACATGCCCGGCGCAGCTGGCCCGAGGCTTGTGCGAAATACTGAACTTTAGCCGCACGCACGGCTTTACAGCATTCTTCGAGCTGTGCAAGAGATGAAGCAGATGTAACTAGCGGAATTTCCTTGGATCCAACGGTGAACCGATTCAAATCTACCACGCTTGTCTGGTCCTCGACATACTTCAATATGTGAGCGTGGAGGTCGTCGGTGATTGAAGGGAGGTGTTGGAATTCGGCACAGTTGACATTGAGCCCAATGACCGATCTATACCAGATCTCATCAATGTTGATACCAGTCTGACGGGCCAGACCCCAGTAGCTTTTGATCAGTTCCTTCCTTTCGCAGAATGTGTCAGGGGTTATGCCGATCACAGCTTGGCAGCCGGGGTGCGAAGAAATCGCAGAAGTAACTCTGGGATTGTCATATAGTAGCAAATTGAGCACGTCCAAAACACGAAGATCGTCAATTATCGCGTGGGCCATTTCCGTTGGCATCAGCGACAAACTTTGAATGATCTCCTCGAAGCGTGGGTCGGGCATTTTGGCGTTGTTTATGCAGTACTCTCTGCTCAGTCGACTTCGAAAAAAAGATCAAGACGAAACTTTTCTGCCGAGAAGCGAAGAGTATGAATAAATCTATAAAAGACTGACGTCAGAGTAGAACCTTCGAGTTGAACTGACATTTGAGTCAGAGATTGAGTCAGAAGGGTCCATCGTGAGGGGCTAGCGACCTGGGGCCAATTTAAGAACTCAACCCCTGACCGCCAAGATTCCAAGGGAATCAACGAAAACGAGGATGAAATTCAGCCCCCAGCCTGCAGCTATGACCTTGTCCTCGCACTTGGGAAGCGCCGAGGAAATTGCGTCTCGTCTGGGCCAGGACCAGCAACTCTGCCGCGATAGAAAGCGGCCAAGCAGTCTTGTCCTGAAGCTATCCGAAGCACCACCAGAGTTGCTAAACGATATATCGGGGCATCTCACACCTCAGAATGAGCTGTCGGAAGAGCTTCAAATAGATCGATGCAAGAGCATCATCGAAGGAATTAAGGACTACCTGGACCAACTCGATAACCCCAATGCAGATGAAGCCGAAGCTATCGCTGCACGTCTAAGAGAAGACCAACAGCTATGCCGAAGAAAGAAAGTTCCTAGTACTCTCGCCTGTCGTCTGCCAAATCCGCAGTCCTCTCTCTTTGAAGCAATTGCCTGGCATCTCACACCTCATGTGGACGTTGCGAAGGCCCTTCGATTGAGACGATGCGAAAGTATCGTCGAAGGGATCAAGGCGTACATCGGTCAACTAGATCGCATCGAAGGTGATGTTGATGAGGACTACCTGGTCAATGGGAGTGCACATATTCCCAAAAATGAAGAATTTGAGGCAGCGCTTAAAGTCTTGGATTATCTTCAGACAGATGACTCGGTGTCACCAATCACGCTCTCAAGTCCCTTAGCGGAAGTCGTTACGGCCATTCGGGCGCAAATGTCATTCAAGAATAAGAGCCTCGTCGAATATGCAAAAAACGCACGCAGTGACACGGGCAAAACGCACAAGGCAAAAACCCGGCGATGCTACATGTGTCGCCAGAAATGCAGCATTCTCAACGTCCATGACTTGTACCCCTCTCTATGCCGCCCCTGTGGGGCCTTCAATCTCGGTTCTTCACAGTTGTCACTGCCGGGGAAATTGGATCTCACCAGAATGACTGCCCTTGTAACTGGTGGAAGGATCAATCTTGGATATCATACGGCACTGAGACTGCTCCGCTCTGGTGCAAATGTGATTGTGTCCTCCCGTTATCCTGGCGATGCGGCAGATCGATATTCCAAGGAAACCGATTTCACGGAGTGGGTATCAAGACTTAAGGTTGTCGGTGCTGACTTTAGGGCCGCACAAGACGCTTTTCGGCTTGTTCATGTCGTAAAGGGCCTGTTGGGGTCCTGGAATGGAGAAACTGGATCGAGCGAGCAGAGAAACCTTGATATCCTCATTAACAATGCGGCACAGACCCTGACAGACCCAGTGAAAGCAGAAATGATAGCCATATCTCGTGAAGAGCAGTTGAGAGACCTCGTACCCGTCAAGAACCTGTTAGCTGGTCATGCAAGCAACGCCTATCAGCCCAGAATCAAGGGCAGTGCGCAGGAGTCTTGGATCTCGCGCATCGAGAGTGGAGGAGAGAAACTGCAAATCGACCATGGGACCCAGAAGGAAGAGAGTGCCATGACTCATAAAGGCCTCTTTATAGAGGGCGATCAAAATCCAAACAAGTCTTCATGGGTGCAGTCTCTCCAGGAGATCCCGTATGAAGATCTCATCAATGCACACTCCGTCAACGCCTTTGTTCCATTGATTCTGTGCCGCGAGCTTCTTCCTTGCATGGGAGCCGATGATACGAAATCAGTCACCAAACCGCTGGGGTATATTGTCAACGTTTCATCGCGAGAAGGAATACTGGAGGATTCGCCCAACTCACCGAGCAAAGCCGGCCATCACGTCCACACGAATATGTCCAAGGCAGCAATCAACATGATAACTGAAACAGAGGCGATGCCGGCGTGGAGGAATCGCCGCGTGGCTATGAATTCAGTGGATCCTGGGTACATGAGTGCTGCTCCCGAGTGTCAGAGAGGCGACGGGTGCCCCATTGGCTTTGAGGATGGCGCCGCTCGTGTACTATGGCCGATCGTTGTTGGAGAACGGGAGGGCAGGGTGATCACAGGCCGCTTTCTGAAGCATTTTGAGCAAGGAGCAGCGGTGATCAGGCGAGGATAGTGATCAAAATCACCAAAGGCTTGCTGATCATTAATATGATATCACTTGATAAATCAGAAATTCATGTGGTCATTCCGAATAACTCGTTGTTCGAGCCAAGGGAGAATCAGCTGAGATAATCTCTAGTTGAATTGAGGCTTTGTAATAAAAGCGTAAATTTCGTGGCTACAAAAACATCCGTTTGGTATAGGGAAGAATAGCATCGGGTCATCCCCTGGTCTTCACAACGAGATATGGCCAGCAGGCATATATGTCCTCAATTTGCTATTTGATGCTCACCCATTGTACCAATGTCAGTCTTTATAATAATGGAGGATCAAGAGAGAACTGCTATCAGTGTCTATTTTTAAATGAAATAATTTGACCATTCTGAAATAAACCTGGGAATTAAAATTGACTGCTAGTGAGTAGGCAGTGCATAGGTCCTTATTGAGCACAAGTTTCGCCGAAGTCTATATGGTACTAGTAGGATTGACAAAATAAAATTTCAGAAACCTAGCCTCTTGAAATGAAAATATGAAATTGATCCTATAAACTGAAATGTTCTAGCTTCGGGCCCACTTTTACCAAGAGTTGACTTGACTATACACAGCTGCGTCTAAGTCGTTGCTGTCTCTTCGTCTCGATTAAAACACTTTGGGTCTGCCACTTCGAACTTCCGGGCAGGAACTTTCCGCGCAAACAGGATGTCGAGTTCTTCGTACGTGCGGTTCTTCGTCTCAGGAAGTCTAAAGAAAGCCCACACAAACATGAGTAAGGCGGTGCTTGCCCAGAAGAAACCTAGACAATTGTAAGTATATTGTGAGTTATCTGAGAAAGGACGACAAATTTACCGGTGTAGCCTGACAGGTTCCATGCAGTGGGGTTCATGAAGTAAGACTGCAAAACGCTAGCAACAACGGTGACAACATAATAAGCATTCCTTGCTAGACAGATAGTTTTTTGACGAAGTCGTGTCGAGCCCACCTCAGCCGGTAGAGCCCATCCAAGCTGTCCAACAGAGAGCTGGAAAACGAAAGTCCAAAATAGACAAAGAGCAGATTGGGAAAACCCAATAGATGGCCTATTTATTGTCCAGACATTCAAAATACCGATCAACATGAGCGTGACAATCATGGTGGCTAATCCTGTCAGGAAAATAGTCCGTCGCCCGAAGTGCGGCATGAGGAAGAACCAATTGACCAATGTGCCGACTAGTCCTAGAGCAGTTCCGCCAAGGTTGAGAGAATATGTCGTTTGGGGATCTAGCCCGACTTGCTCAAAGAAGTAAGATGAGTTGTCTGTGTAGCAGCGTCAGCATTAACGAGTAAATGTTTAGGCGAGTAACCCCAACCTACATGCAAAGTTTGTGCCGGAAAGAGGATGGCTCATGAAACACATGCATGCAATCTCTGTGCGGGTCAGCTCAAAGCTTTTAAAACAGTCCCAGTATGAAGTGCCGACTGATAGCTCCTGTTCGAGATTATTGGTGTTCACAATCATCGCTAGAGTCTTCTTGGGGTCTATTTCTGCAGACGGACTCTGTAGTCGCCGCAGTGCCTTTTCAGCCGATTCAAAACGACCTTGTCGTACTTCGTGCCAGGGACTGGGTGGTGCCATGGCAACAAGAGGGATGAGAAAAGCAGGCCACACCCACTGTAACGCAAATGGAATTCGGTAAGCCCACTGGTCTGGTCGTGACTGAAGACCACGGAGGACACCAGCAGCTATTAGCTGCCCTATAATAAAGCACATATTGGTGAAGCTCGTAAAGTATACTCGAAGTACCATGGGTAGGCATTCAGAAGCGTAGGCCGGTGCCGCAGTAGAGAAAAACCCCCCATGGTAGGCCCGAGAGAAATTGACCTGCACATAGGGTGGCAACGTTTGGAGCGAAGAAAGTAATGAAGATGAAAGCTGATAGTAGTACAAGAGCTCCGAGCAGGACTTTCTTATGACCGAACTTGTTGACCAGGAATCTGCCAATGCTGTCAAATGTGGTGACACAACACTATAGCAAGAATATATCACACTCACCCGTTGATAAGAGCACCAAAAAATGCACCCACTCCCGAGGCGTTCGTCAAGCCAGCCTGCCAGGCGGCATTGAGTTGATAGCCGGTTGGACCTCGCCCGACGTACTTTCCATACTTGATCTGAAATTGAGGGTAGGCGTACAAGCTTTGGACAATTATCTGATCATAACCTTCCATGATGACACACGTGGAGATAACCAGACACCAAAGTATGGCCTTGGGATAGGCCTTGATTGCCTGCAATGGGGTCAGACTATGATCAAGCCTGGCGGCTTCTTCGGCGTCTTGGAGGAGTTTCTCGCTTTGAATACACTGAACAGATGAGCGCCGTTTAACAGATTCACCTCCACCCCCTTCATAATGCTGGATGCAGACTGGGGCCTCTCCAGTTTTATTGAAGCCCATGGTTGAATTTCCGTCAAAAATCTGGGTAAAGGATGAAAAGGCCCTGAACTTCAGGGGTTGTTAGAAGAAAATTTCAGTGCCTGCTGGTTCTCCTCTTTATAGTAATGCAAGACTAACTTAAACTCGGTGGAATTCCCCATGGGGAACATGACGGCTCTGCGAGTCAACCATGGAGCGATGCGGGGGAGGACAAACTCGGCTGGTGAGTTTGAGGGGGGGGAAGAGGAGGCTACCGTAAATTTCCTAATACAGCATGCCCCGCGGCACAAATTAGATTTGAGAGCTCGCTCGAGGCAGGTAAGCAACTCAAAATCCTCGGTGATTAGTCGGAGTTACTTCGTTGTCCGGCGGAACTGTCCATGCTGGGAAATCCCTATAGATGCCTCTTGCGGGGGAAACTCAAAGCGGCAAAGGCCGCTATAATAACTTTCTGACTAAAATACCTCAGACACCGCGTTCTCACTTATAAGATGCCTAATTTTGGATTCAGCTTTTTGGCATTTTTCTCTTGAAATCGTCACAAGAAATACGAATCGTTGAGAGAAGAACAATGGCGGCTTATCCAAAGATCACATCAATTCCACCTTTGAGACAGCTCTCAGTGCTTCCAGTGGAACAAAAAGACGTACGTGATCAAAAGAAACACATAGTCCTTCCTGTCATGCTGACATATCTTTGTATCCAGGCTTCTTTTGTTTTGAATATTGAATGGAGCACCGCCCGGCCAAAATTCCTATTCCAAATCGAACTCTGCTACAGCGAGGTGACTTCACGGCAGCATGTTAGCCTCTGGCCATCAATATCGCTCAACCAAGCCTCATCACAACCCATCAATCTTCACCAAGACGAGAACCAATACACGGCATGTTTCGTGGGGAAGTTGCCATATTCCTCCTTGCCTCCGGAGAAGAAATTCCAGCACCTGGTCTTTACATTCAAGTACCGCATCGAGGACCATGCGCCATGGCAATGGTTTCAGGATTCTGGCGGTATCGAGAAAGGAGAGATTATTTTCCAGGCACCTGTGGCGGACAGCCCTCCTGTCAGTTCGCTGATTGCACTTGAGCCAGGCTGGGAAGCAATGGCCGCTCCAACTTCCGTATCCGGGGCCACACTGTTCTCGATAGTGTCTAATGGGCCCATTTCTCGGGGACAAGGAGCCGAAGGTCCGTTATGGAAGTCATTGGGCCTCGTCCAAATACAAGCCCGATATGTCGCGTTTGCTCAACTCGAGCCACCTTGGATTGGCCCACGGCATGGTGACGACTTTCTCTACCTTGCCGAAGGCGCAGTGCTATGCTCCGTCCTTCGCAAAGATGGGATTGTAGTTACGATTGCGGCACCGAGTATCGGAAATATTAGAGCACTTCTACATTCTGACGAGCATGGCCGGATTGTTGTTGAAGCTCAAGACGATGGCAACACTGGTGCGCCTTTCCGAATAATGCTCTCGGTTGCACGCGACATGGAAAACTCCCTAGAAGCAATTATGTGTCATTTCCGTGAAGAATCAAACGACTCCCAGCTTATTCAAGACATTGTACGTGAGACAACAAAGTCACACGATACAAGCCCTGAATCTTACGAAAAGTGGCTGGACGGGTTAGTATTTTGCACATGGAACGGGCTTGGCCCCGACCTTACCGAAGGGAAAGTTTTACAGGCGTTAGAAGTCCTCGAAGATCACGGCGTATCAATCTCAACGCTTCTGATCGATGATAATTGGCAAACTCTAGCACCAACAGAACTAGATTTCGGCAATCCTTTTTGGCGTGGCTTTGCTGATTTCAAACCCACAGAAGGATTTCCAAACGGTCTTGATGGAATGATCCGTCGCGTCAAAAAAGAGCATCCCCTCATTTCGGACATTGGTGTTTGGCATGCTCTTTTCGGCTACTGGGGCGGCCTTGCAAAAGAAGGTTGGATTGTTGACAACTACGAGACTTTTGATGTGGACGGCAAGTTGTACTATGCTGTCCCCACGAAAATCAAATCCATTACAGCGAAAGATTTGGACAAATTCTATGACGACTTCTACACCTATCTGGCCTCCCAAGGAGTCACCTTTGTCAAAGCCGATGTCCAGTGTTCGGTCACCGATCTAAAACACAGCGACGATCGGACCATACTCATACCGGCTTATCAACGTGCGTGGATGACGGCCCAACTGCGACACTTCCAGGGCAAGGCCATCAGCTGCATGGCCCAAGTCCCGGAAATGCTGTGGCGAATTCTCCTGCAAGATAAATTCCAGCCAGTTGTCTTGCGCAATAGTGATGATTTCTTCCCGGAGATTCCAGCTAGCCATTCATGGCACTTGTGGGCAAATGCTCATAACGCGCTGTTTACGCAGCATCTCAATGCCGTACTAGATTGGGATATGTTCCAAACTTCACACGAGTACGGCGCCTATCACGCTGCTGCACGATGTCTTTCCGGTGGCCCAATTTCCATTACCGATATACCGGGAAAACACGACTTGGATGTCATCAACCAGATGGTAGCTCCGAGCCCGGACGGAGGTAGAAGTATCGCTCTTCGGCCATCAGTCGGGAAAACACCGCGTGTGTTTGATAGGTATCTCGAATCAGGTGTGCTTAAGATTGTAAGCGAAACAACACTAGGGACAAAGTTGATGGGCTTGTTTAATACAGGCGAAGCCCCTATATCGCTGCTCATAGAAGCAGCTGAGTTTGCAGCCGTGGGAAGGGAATTGTGGCCCCCCGGGTCAGAGGTTCTATTTTTCTCGCACCGCGCCCAGGCTCCTTACGGCCCACTTTTCTTGAAACATATTCCACAATTCTATTCACACCCAGAAGACTTGATTCACGCCAAACTGCCTGTCAAAGGATTTGAAATTCTTTCCGGGCATGTGACTAATCGTCTACCCTACAAAGGAGGCCATTTACTTGTATGTGTTCTCGGACTACTGGGAAAGATGACCGGAGCTGCAGCAGTCTGCTCCTCGGTCATTAAGATCAGTGATGAGAAAAAGCTATACATGAGTATCCAGTTGAAAGCGCTGGGGCTGTTGGGTGTATGGATAAGCGGCCCGCGGATCGAAAAAAGTCAGATACTGGCAAAGCTTGAGAATCTGGAGTTGGAAGGGCATATGATTAAAACTTTTGACTTCCCCGATGGCGCGCGGGAGTCCCAGCTTGTCCAATTTGATATACTCGAGACCTGGTCAAAACGAGAGCATACAGGAGACTCTCGCATGGATGTTACCCTAGACATTGTTATTGAGATGACATAGGGTGCAGCCGACGTGGTATCCCTGCCTACGCTGCACCCTTGAGCATCCTCTCCTATTCTTATGTGCAATCCTCTATTGGCTTCTGAACACAAGGCACAGCCAGCCCACACATGTACACTAGTAAGCTTTATCCCTGGATACTTTCAAATGTTAGAATCAAAAATGAACCAAGGGTTTTATTCATATAACAACATTTGAACTGCGAGATAATTCAACCATTCAAATGTTGGAACTACGGGCCCGGCCTTTTTTTACGAAGTTACAGTAGAATTCGAGAACAGATTACCCTTGAGACATTCACACTTTCTTTCAAAACGTTGCTAGCGCCTCATTCAGACCGCGCTAAACTTAATTCAGTCAAGGAAAGCCCCACATTGTTTTCGTAATGTAACTCTACACAGGGAAGGGCGAGTTTACAAACATTGACCATTTGAAGCGGGGGCTTGGGCATCTTTCAAAATCTTCACTTCCCCATATCCAAAAACTCAACCAGTTAACTTCATTTCTTGCTCAACTTGAATCCACATCCAGTTCATAATGCAACCATTTTCTAAAGTTGACTGGGACAAAGGGGATAAGGATGGGCTTGTCACTGTCGGTTCCCATAACCTCTATCTGTCCGTTTCGGGGCCAGGTCGCAAGCCTGGAGATCCCATCGTCGTTCTCATGCAAGGCATTGGCAGTACGGTGGATGAGTGGATTGCAGTGCGAAAGCTTGTGGTTCCATTTGCTCGTTGGTTGAATTATGATCGTTCGGGGATGGGTAGGAGTGAAGGTCCCAACCAAACACCACCAAGCATATCTGCAGCATCAGTCGCAGCAGAGCTGGATACCCTTCTAAGAAACGCCAGTATTGAGCCTCCGTTTATCATTGTCGCCCACTCATGGGGAGGCTACACTTCTCGCGAGTTTCTGGAACTCAGGCCCAATGATGTTGTGGGCATGGTGTTCGTAGATTGCAATACTGAACGTTTATTTGACAGTGGTGCGTGGGGTTGGGACGTTTTCGGTCCGGTCCTTGGTAACCAAGACTATGTTGAAACTACCGGTCTTGCAATGTCCCATGTCCTATCCGAGGAGGAGTGGAAAGCCGTCAGAGACCAGCAGGCTAATCCCCGACATCGACCTACTGAGGCTGCTGAGTTACAGGCGGTGCCGAATAACAGACGGGCATTAGCCCACAAGAATCAACTTGAGAAGCTACTTCTCAAGGATTATCCGGTCAGCGTTATCATTGCGGATACTCCTAAAGATTTCCAGAAAATGTATGACTTTGGAGTGGCCGTAGGCAATGGAACAGAACAAGAACGAGCTCTATTTCGAAAATGTCTCGATAGATGGCACGAGATGAATGAGGACTGGCAAAGAGATCTTTTGAGGCTTTCTCGTCTCAGCAGATCTGTTCTTCTGCATTGCAGTCACAATGTGCAGCTTTTGCAACCACAGAGCATAGTTCAAGAAATACAGTGGGCCATGGACAGCTGGAGATAACCCTTAATCTGCTAATGAAGTTTTCAGCTCCTGGCTTGCAAATCGGACCTTCTAATGGAGTGATTTTGCCTTTTGATCCTTAATAAAGGATTTGGAACCCCCTCGGGGCGTGTGAATTATGAAATTGCCATCCAAACATTTTTGATCATCCGTTATCCAAGCGATTTGGCCAACTGGAAATCTTCTAGAAGTTACTCCGGGCAAGAAATTAAGATGTTTTTACCGGAGCCAGCCTTTCCTAGTCGCGCTTTGGGGATTTAATTTGTGATAGAAGATTGTCGGCATTTTTCTTCTGCCCACAAAACTTACTGCAGTTTTGTAAAGCGGTGAATTTGTACCTATTTAAGAAACAAATGTTGGCTAGTATGGTTTGAAAGGCCGTCCGCACATACGGCGGCGATTGAAGGTCACGGGTAGAGCTCATTGATAATTCTTGGTCAACTGGGAGTACTTGAAGGGACAATATAGGCTAAAACAAAACAGCGTCTGACCCTGGTAGGTTAGAGGCAAAATGAAGCCATCCACCCATTCATCCTTACTGTAAGGACACGACAATATGTTGTATACGCAACCACCATCTCATTTGAATCATGTCTTCTCCTGCCACTCCTCTGTCGAATTTGGAAGACGAATCATTTGAACATCTTGCTCGACTGGTGAGTCTTTTGCGTGCTCTCGTTATCTTCAAGGAGGTCAGCTCCACGCCGAGTCACCTTGACTCCTCGCAACCAAAAGGGAGCAACTCACTTTTTTCGTATGTAATCAATCCCGACTGAAACTCATTCTCTTCTTTCTCTGCCCCTTTGTCCGAAGAAACGACGATTGTATTTGCTTTGCTCAGCACAGACTCTTGTGAAGTCATCTTACTGCAAGCCATGTCTCCTTCGGAAACTGAAGGCTCTTGTTGGAGAAACGCTTGACGCTTCCCTCTTATAAAATCCCACGCGTCCTTCGCGAGATGTACATCTGTGCGAGGAACTGACCCTCCTGCAGATCTTTGAAGGGATGTGGCACCTGCCATTGTGAGAAGCTTATGTTGACTAGAGCACACTGGGAGTTATGGGGCAAGACAGTTATTCGAGGGAAATTGACAAAATCAAGCCTAGGACAGTACAGACTTATATAAACTCAGGATCATAAAAATAAAAGGAAGCGAGTCTACCGAGGTGCGATGGACAGTAGGCCGAAATATCTCTTATGATCCAATACTCGAATATTTGCTAGCTTCCTCCGACTCCGAACAAGAAATAATGTCGCCTGTAGAGTCGTTTTCGCGGTGGGGTGACGCAATTGTTAGGCCGATATATCAATATTAATACTGACTGGTCAATTTCGGACAAGGGCTTTTGGTAAGCATGATCAAAGCCCCAGATTGGACATCGGAGGAAGCTGTGGGAAGACCTTGAAGAGCTGCTTTCAGGCTACTCCGATCCCGATCATGTCCCCGACCCCGACCCCGACCCCGACTCCGACCCCGACCCGGCCCTGATTCCGACTCGAGCCCTCTATTCTCCAGATGGGCCAGCGTCAAACACCAAGGACGCTCAGACTATTAAAAGAATGTGTTTTTATTCGACACCTGGAAAGTGATATCATCATTCTTGCCATGGAATTCCCAATTTAAAGCATATTTAACCCATTTTGAAGATCGAATTGCCAGTTATCAAGGTTTGTGATGAAGTGATTATAATCCAGGGATATCTGCAACATGAGTTTCATTTGCAAGGGCCAACTCCGCGGTGTTATCCATAGAGTGAAACGCCGATTGGGTAGGCTGAGGCGACAAAACAACATCTAGAACGCGCAAGATTGTCTGCCGGGCTTGCTGACAAATATCGTAGTTACCTTCATGTGACTGAATTATAATCTGGAGATAGGACGCGAAAATTGTCAGGTTTTGTATGACTTGAGATTTGGGAAATGTAGTTGCTGCCACATCTGGTGAAAGGGATGATGAATTCATATGAAGGGCCGAGCAGCGATGGACGAGCTCAATTGAAAGCACGCCGGCTGTTGGGAGGCCGTAAAAGCATATCTGGTAGCCTAAATCAGCATTGGAGGGGCCAGGGAGCATATTATAGAATTACCACCCATGAGAGCTCTGGAGAAAGCCGCATAATTCGAATACGATTTTCAACAAGCTGAATTATCTGATTCATGATATCGTGAGAAACCTTGACAAGATCCGGAGACCACAGGTTTAGTCGCTTCGAATATATGCGATGTAGTAGGAACTGGTCATATATATGATCCATGTGCAGTTGGAGATTGATGCTTTCTTTGACATTAGGAAGTCGGGATGATAGTCTAGGGTCATGCCGTCGATGTATAAAAGAAGGAAGGCCCTCCCATACCAATCTCGATTGCTGCAAAAGCTCCCTAAAATTGATATTAAAAATGAAACCAACAACTCTTATTCAGTAAAACTCACTCGATTCTTTGTGGCAAATTTTCGACATTCTGGCTTAATGAGAGCTCCAAAATGCTTTCTCGGACCGGGCCCATCAGTAAAACGCACCTTAGCCAGACCGCTTGTGAATCATTCTCAACGGTATTCCAACCATCAGCGTCTAGCCTTCTAATAGCGGCATCTCTGACACTCGGCTCGGCGATAACATCAGTGAAACTGATGTCCAAAGGCAGCGGTATGTTACAAAAACGCCAGCTGATCCTTGGAGGTCTTCCGAGAAATGTTGCTAGCTGCTTGTCTGCGCTGAAAGAGCCACTCATCACCCTCTTCCGAGTTTCTGCGAGCCAAAAAGGTATACTGTCATCCGGAGAAGGCTGGTTGAGACCGAGGGTGAACACGATGGTTGATAGGTCGCCTAGCGCTCTCCAGGAGCGATAGTCTATTTATATCAGTATCTTTGCTCTTCACAGAACTTCATGCGGCTTACCTCGATCACCTTGGATGAGCGTTGTAAGAAAGGTATGCTGGTGAACCAACCAACTGACAGCGTCATTCAATGCACCAGCTTCATGGCAGAATCTCAAGCATGTTTCAGTTGCGGACAGAGCCAAGAGCCCCATTTCTCTTCTCGAACTGATTGGTTTCCCTTCGGCGTGAAACAAAGAGTCCCAATCACAGGGCAGCACCGTACCGAATCCTACAAACGAAAATGCCAAACCAACGATCTCCCATCTGTATGACATAGCTGACATGAATTCTGAAAAGGTCAGCGAGGAATGGATACGAACTGGCTTTGAAAAAAGTTTGAAGATTTCACGGGAATGAGACAACAGGCTATTGGCACCCCGGGTTGGAATGTCAGCGAGCTCCTGCAGTGAATCAAAAGTGAGTTCCACGAGTTGCTGTCCCATAAATTCACAGTCCTGGGTGGCGGTAAGATAAGATTGGGCGATTCTGCGATAAATAGGTAGATCTCTTAATAACTGAAGAAGATGTGCACCCTGTTTTGTCTCACTGAGTTCAATTGGTATCGAACTCGAAGGCGGGAGCAGGTGATCATTATTTTGGGTTTGCACTTCGTATGGAGGGGAACCCAAGTGTTCCGAGCTTTCTTTGAAAAGCGTGAAGTGACTCGTCATTCCAAGGTACTCTGATTGCGACAGTCGTCTTCTCTTTGAGACTGGCCGATCTTGTTGGTCAGGCCTCGCAGCGAACAGATCGCTCTCGTCCTCTGCGTAGTCATTTTGCTCTGTGTCATCTTGTATCCCGTATTTGGAGTGCTTCAGAGTAGAAACGGGATGAGAAGGCCTATAAACACATTTTTCTGGCTTCTTCGTCCGATTGCACCGTTCGCAAGTGGGCAGTTTATGGTCACAACGAAGCTTCGACTTGCGGCACGGCTCGCACGAGGATGGCATGCCATTTTTCCTCAAGGAAGTCATGCTGCTAAATAAATATAGGGAGTTGGTACTGATTTCAATGCCATCAAGTAGTCGGAAACACAGAAAATCGCATTTGACAATGAGCAGGATTGTTTCCCTGATCCCGTCCCCCCTCTCACCCAAGAAGGGACAGTGCTTCAGTGCTGACTAACGATTTTTTTGGCCCGCGGTACTTTACCGCGAGTCACAGAGTAAGGACAACATCTTTGCAGTCGCAAAATTGAGAAGCAATAGTTTTCTGGGGAATACTGTTAGTAGAACTCTATCTTTGGGTAAAATATCGATGGTAGCTTGGGGGACCGAAATTTCGCTGCTTTAGATCATAGATCAGCGAGCATGACAATTTTGACTACAGGAGTAGACCTCGGGAAGATGCAACATTTGGGAAGGTACCGCAGCTTATCAGAGCGGATGGGACTACCCTAGGGTACTACCACCGATAAAAGTGAATAAGCAGAGGGATTATTGGCCAAATTCTTCCCGCCCCTGCCAGACGAAATTGACGATGAATAATTCTAAGGCAACTTTGGTTCCATCTTTGAGGATTCGCCTGAGCTAAATTACAAACAATACTGGACGATCAGTTTCATGGAGGAGTCCAAGAAGCGTTGAGGGTACGACTTGACGCCATATCCATTGAATACGACTTCTACTCCACCGTCACAGATCTTTATATCAACTACTAGTATCGGGTCTGGGGCTGAAGAAGTTGATATACACAAGGCCGAGTCTCTCGGCTTCTAGGAAGATAACGATGCTTTCCGCGTCATACAATCGAAACCATCCACTGTGTATATACTTCCCGGCCCAATTAGGAAGGCAACCAGTGCTTACTAATATGACTCAGCACATATCGACACCTCAGGCCCCACAATCCGGAGTTACGTAAATCGCCGCGATCTCCATTCCATTCGCCCCCCATAAAAGGTACCACTCCAAATAAAAAAAATAACAACACTCCTTCTTGCACATACCTTATACCTTACCTTACCATGCCCTCTACCTGATTCTCGAACATGTCGGCTGGCGGCGAACATCTCAAAGATGAGGGTTCCAGGCGACAAGTTATATTGGCCGGCGGTACAGCCGGCCTAATCTCACGCTTCTGCATTGCGCCGTTGGATGTCGTCAAGATCCGCCTGCAGCTGCAGATCCATTCACTTTCTGATCCGGCCTCACACCGGACAGTCGTGGGGCCGGTATACAAGGGGACCCTTTCGACAATGGCTTCCATTATGCGCCAGGAAGGTATCACGGTATGTTTCTCACTCGCCTCGCCTCGCCTCAATTCCACCTCCGCGGGAAGTCAAGTCGGGCTAGTTTAGTACTCACACACTCTCTCTTCACTATAGGGCCTATGGAAAGGCAACGTTCCCGCAGAAATGATGTATGTCTGCTACGGCGCCCTCCAATTCACCGCATACCGCACAACAACCCAAGCCCTATCCCAACTAGGCCACCGCCTCCCACCATCCGGCGAGTCCTTCATATCTGGCGCCGTGGCCGGCGGAATCGCCACAACAGCAACATACCCACTCAGACCTACTCCGCACCCGCTTCGCAGCCCAAGGCCCGGAACGGGTATACAAATCCCTCTACTCGTCCATCGTCGACATATCCCGCAACGAAGGACCGAGGGGATTTTTCCGCGGCTGTTCAGCAGCAGTGGCCCAAATCGTGCCGTACATGGGTCTATTTTTCACGGCGTATGAGAATCTACGGCCGACCATGGCCCAGTGGGAATATTTGCCCTTTGGCACCGGTGATGCGGCTGCGGGTGTTGTTGCTAGTGTTATGGCGAAGACGGGCGTTTTTCCGCTCGATTTGGTCAGGAAACGCCTTCAGGTTCAGGGTCCTACGAGGACGAAGTACGTTCATCGGAATATTCCGGAATATGATGGGGTTGTTAGGTCTATTGCTATGATTCTGCGGACGCAGGGCGTCCGGGGGTTGTATCGAGGTTTGACGGTTAGTTTGTTTAAGGCTGCGCCTGCTAGTGCCGTTACGATGTTCACGTATGAGCGGGCGTTGAAGTTTATTCAGGAGATGGAGGTTGCACGGTGCGAGGCTTGATTGGAAGAAAATGAGGGAGAGAGATCTACACTGCGGCTTTTCTATACATGGGCATGTCATGGCGTTCAGGGGTGAATTGGGCTGGTTGCTTTGATTTGATATTGTACCACTACTACTAGACTTAACTAGATTATCGGAACTGGGTTGGAATCTTCAAGAAATGTGCATCAACTGTATTTTGAAATCCACGCATCCAGTTAAATAGTGTCGACTGTCGTCAGACACAAGGGAGAGAAAAGAGAAACGCTGTTTGGGCTGAAACGAAAGGGGGTGTCGCAGAAGAGAGATAGGTGAGGTGAGTAGATCAGGCGTATATCCAGATAGACAGATCGAAGAATCACAATTTCATATGTGCGAGGTTAGGATTCGAGCAAACCAAGTCCGCTTAGTACTCGAGCTCCTCCTCTTCCTCCTCGATCGAGTCGCCGGCGACCTCCTCGTAATCCTTCTCCAGAGCTGCGAGATCCTCACGAGCCTCGGAGAACTCTCCCTCCTCCATACCCTCGCCAACGTACCAGTGGACGAAGGCACGCTTGGAGTACATGAGGTCGAACTTGTGGTCCAGACGGCTCCAGGCATCGGCGATGGCGGTGGTGTTGGACAGCATGCTGACGGAACGGTCGACGTTGGCCATGGCGGTGTCGGGAACCTGGACGGGCTTCTGGTAGTTGATGCCCAGCTTGAATCCGGTGGGGCACCACTCGACCAGGTTGAAGGAGGCCCTGGACTTGACAGCGGCAACGGCCTGGTGACATTCCTGGGGAACAACATCACCACGATACAGCAGGGCGACGGCCATATACTTGCCATCCTGGGGATTGCAGACAACCATCTGGTTGTTGGGCTCAAAGCCTAGTGTCACATTGTTAGCATTGACACTGCACTGGTGGAGGGTAGTTAACGGCAACACATACACTGGAAGGTGAGGTCCTGGACCTTGAAACTCTCGTGGGCACTGCGGCTGTTGCCAACGACGGGAGCGTACGAGATCAGAGGGTAGTGGATACGAGGGAAGGGCACCAGGTTAGTCTGGAACTCGTTCAGGTCGACGTTCAGGGCACCGTCAAAGCGCAGACTGGAGGTGATGGAGCTGACAACCTGGGCAATAAGGCGGTTCAGGTGGTCGAAGCTGGGACGGGGGATGTCCAAGTTGCGACGGCAGATATCGTACACGGCCTCATTGTCAACCAGGAAAGTACAGTCGGAGTTCTCGATAGTACTGTGGGTGGACAGAACGGCGTTGTAAGGCTCGACGACGGCAGTGGAAACGCGGGGGGAAGGGTAGACGCAGAACTCCAGCTTGGACTTCTTGCCATACTCAGCAGAGAGCTGCTCCAGCAGAAGGGCACCGAAACCGGAACCAGTACCACCACCGAAGGAGTGGAAGACAAGGAAACCTTGCAGGCAAGAGCAAGCATCTATTGCTAGTTAGTTTGCCAATCGTGGGCGTGGGGTGGTCAACCAGGTGAGGTTGAAAGAAAGGTGTGTCTATGCATACCAATCACGCGGCGAATGCGGTCCAGGACGTCGTCAACAAGCTCCTTGCCGACGGTGTAGTGACCACGGGCATCTGCATAGAAATTAGCTTTCGGCTCATGTGTGCTCAGTCCCTCGGGGCCTTTTTAAGGTGCATGTACAGTTGTTGGCAGCATCCTCCTTGCCGCTGATCAGCTGCTCGGGGTGGAAAAGCTTCTTGTAGGCGCCGTGGCGGATCTCATCGACGGGCTATTTTCATCACAGTCGACCGTTAGCCCTAGTCCACCTTGTTCCTGCGAATATATTTCATTTCCCCATACCGAAGGGTCAAGATCAGCAAAGATGGCGCGGGGAACATATTTGCCGCCGCTGGTCTCGGTATAAAAGGTATCGTAGGAGCCGTTGGAGCCAACTTCGTCGGCACGGGACTTGTCGAAGAAACCCTCGGGGGTCAAACCGTGCTCAAGCTGGTACCTAGGGGGGAAGATTTACCAGGATTAGCTATCGGCACAGTGGATCATCAACAATCACAACAAGCGGTGAAGAAACCTACAGCTCCCAGGCGGCGTTACCGAGTTGGATACCGGCCTGGCCGATGTGCAGGTGCAAGATCTGAGCAATTGAGATTGATTAGCTTGAATCGAGGACATAAGAAGCTGGAGGCATGGAAAACTGCTGGAATTGAGGGAGCGGAGCCGGGGCCATCGCATCCATGGACACGGAGAGTTCAGGGGAGGAACAAGTGGGGGAGGGTGGTGGTGGCGGTGGTGGCAATGGCAGTGGGAATGTGGTGATGGTGATGGGATGGAAGATTCAGGTAATAATAGACAGGACATACCTCTCCTCGGACCATGGTGAATGAATAGTAGAGAATAACTTAACAAAAGAGCAGAGTTAAAGCAGAAAGGAGGAAAGAAAGTGTTGAGGGGGGGAAATCATGTGGGGCGGGGAGTGGCCCCTGAAAGCACGACAAACTGGCGGTCACGCGGGGTTTACTAGTGGTAGTATAGTATAGCATAGTATGCTAGAAGTCAGGGTGTTGTTTCTGATCTAATTCAATTGAATATAAGTAGAATGATAAATACTCCAGCCTCCAGGGCTATACTAGTACTCCTACTGGCATTGTGACGGTGCCCGGTAACAGCAATTGGCATATATAAGTTTTCAAAATAATGGTACTAGTACTAGTGCCGAGTATGAAATGAAGATCCAAAGGCATAATTAAGTTCAAATATTAGATCAAGTGCAGAACATGGGAACATTGAGCCACCCCTAAGCCACTAGTATTGAAAATATAGGTCCATGCCTAAGTACTGATAAGTCGACCTTGCATATTGCCACATGGAAATTCCAACCAGAAGGATTTGGTTCTCTTAAAATCATGAGAGGTCGTATATTTCAAACAAGAATGCATTATTTTCCAGCAGGCCTATTCAGCATGCTTCGCGCGATAGAAGGCTTGGAATTCCGATGGGCCTTCCAGCAATACCTTTGGGCTATCAAACTCTACAAGCCGCCCATGCCTCATCAAAGCAACACGATCAAACTTTTCAATATATCGAAGTCGATGAATAACTGAAATCACCGTCTGGGAAGCGAATTCTCCCTCGATTATACTCTGCATGGTCGCTTCCGTCTCCCAGTCGACACTAACATTTCGATGTCTATGATTAGAACAAGAATGTATGGGCACAAGATAAAACATACCTGCTGGTCGCCTCATCAAGAACCAAAATTGGGCTTTTCATCACCATTGCTCGCGCAAGTGCTAGCAGTTGTCGCTCCCCTACTGACCAATCCGATACGGACAACTGCTGATCCAGTTCTCCTCCCCCGGGTGTGTTGTCACAAACCTTCTTCCACAATCCAACGGCTTCTAGTGATCGGATGAGAGTTGAATCGGATATGGGACTATTCTCAAACCCGCGGTCAAGGTTGAACCGAAGCGTTCCTGGCATGAAGAATGGCTCCTGAGGAACGACGTTGATTCGAGATCGCACTGCACCACAGGGGAGTGTAGATAAATCTATACCGTCGATTTCTATGTTGCCTTGCTCCAGCTCGATCATTTGTAACAATCCAAGAATTAAAGATGTTTTGCCGCTTCCAGAAGGGCCACAAACGGCGACCTTCTCCCCTGACCGTATGGCTAAGGACAGGTCCTGAAGAACCGGCGGGAGTGAGAGCTAAGCGACAACATTAGCTGGGTCACCAAAGAAGCGCAGTGAGAGTCTTACTTATATGAAGCCGTGATCCCTTGGAAAGAGATATTTCCAACGGAAGGCCAATTGGGTGGCACCGGCTCTATACGGCGTTGATCCTGGTCCTCTGACGGTGTGTTCTCCATGAAGTCCTGTATACGGGAGACGGCCCCGATTGATGTTTCCAACTTCGTCCATGACTGAATAAGCTGCATTAAGTCCAAATTAAAGCTTAAAATCAGATTCAGTGCGACACCGATCGCACCGGGACTGAACTTGTCTTTCAATGAGACGACCAAGGTGACAAGGATGACGGCCAGAGCCATGACGATACAGTCAAGCACTAGTTGAAGCCATTGCTGAATGCAAAATAGCATATAAAATGGTTGCTGTGACTGATTGAGAAGTATATTCAGACGACTCTGGAAGGGTTTCTGCCACCGCATGGCTCGAATAACGGATATTCCCTGCATTGTCTCGACGAGGTGAGTGAGGAGAGGCGCCTTGGTCTCAATATCCAGGAGTCGCACTTGTCGGGAGGTTCTGAGGTAGTATCCCTGCACGAAAAAGAGAATGACTGCCAAGATTGGAACGGTCACGGTGAGATATTTACCCATCGCGCACAGAATGACAAGCTCCACAACACAGCTTGCCAGGGCTTTGGAATAGTTAGAATGTCCCATATGATATCTTGCAAGTATATTGCTTACCAAGGGCCGAATTTATGGATTCGTTTGGAAGATCCAGATCGATGAGCTCGAGGTCTTGGCTAAATCTTTGGTTTATGGTCAGACTACTCTCTGAAATGAACAGCAGGCTACGTACCTATTTGTTGTCAATCCGGCGTCGACTTTTTGAAAGAAGCTGAATGGCGCTCTGGTTTGATGAGTTGGTATAAGGCGGCGTAGAAGTATTAGAATATTGCAAAATGTACCTTAATGTAACACTTAACAAGTGAGAATGCATGGTAAGTCCGGTATTGTTGATCGCTTTCACAAACAGGCCCCTTAAATGGATTTATTAGCAGACATTAGGTATACTAGGATAATGAGAGGGGAGAGCCTACCAAGCTCCAATCATGAGCGTAGTCAGTGATAACACGAATATGAATGAATAGATTCCGATATAAAACCCGATCCTCTGATTCGGATGACTATCGTTGGCATTCGACCACTGCTGAAGCCACACAGCTGTTGTTGGTTAGAATTATTCTGATTAGAGTAGAGGAACACTCACTAGAAAATTGCTCAGAGAAACCATATAGCGCGACACATAACCCGACAGTGATTACGACTATCCAGCCAGCCGACTGGAAGTAGAACACATATACGGACCAACTCCCGTCTCGTCGAACCATGTTTGCATCAGCGTCATTTTCGGGAACTGCCTGGAGCATCCGAGAAACACTGTTCATTTCGATAGGCTTGTCGGTGGGAGACCTCTGCGTTTCAGATTCCTCAGTGCGTTGGCCTCGGCTATCTTCTGGTATCATGGAGCGCAACTGCTCGTATGCCCCAGCCCTGGACAATCGGCCGTTGTCTAGCATCAAGATCTCGTCTGTAAGCGGGAGAATGCGATTGTTATGAGTTGCAAGAACAACAGTCCTGCCTGCCTTTCTGAAATGGCCGTCCACTGACAGCAACCGAGATGAAATCGCAGCTACCGATCGAGTGTCGAGCCCGCTGAATACATCGTCGAGAACCAGGACCGCTGCTCGCGAGTAAACAGCGCGGGCAAGAGACTATTTTGGAAGTTAGTTTAAGACCAATTTTCTAGAATTTTAATAGGATTGGATTCACGTACAATGCGCTGTTTCTGACCTCCGCTGAGCGTGATACCGGAGGTTCCAGCGATAGAAAGATCACCACCAGGGATACTTTGCAAATCCGTCTCCAGCGCACAGGCCCAGATCACAAAGTTATACCATTTCTCATCGTATGATGCAGGGCCAGTGATATTCGCACGAATCGTGTCGTTCATGATCCAAGGCGTCTGGGGGCAGTACGCGACTGTTGAGTTGAATGGAGAAATGGAGCCTCTTTGCAGAACTGTCTCCCCCAGGATGCTTTCTAGAAATGTGCTTTTGCCACTTCCCACGGATCCTATAATTGCTGTAATCATGCCTTTTCTCAAATAAATATTGAAATCTCGAAGGACTGGCTCGGAGTCGTCTGACCAGGAAAAGCTGGCGTCATGGAGTTCAAGCACCGTTCCAGCTGAGCGCGTAGAGGAACCAGTGTTCGATTGCAGCTCAATACCATCAGCCCCTAGGAGAAACTCCGAGTCTTCGTCTAACGGTACCTGTGCGCAGTATTTCTCAATACGATCAAAACACCCGACCGACTGCCATAGTCCCGGGAGAGTGTGGACAAATATGAGAAGCGGGGAGGTCATCAGAGAAATAAGGGATAGAGAAGTGAACGTCCGATTTGAAAAAAGTGAGTCGCCGCCAGTAGTCACTGCTATCAAAGAAAAAATCACAAATGTTGCATATGGAGCCAGTGTGAGAGGCAAATTCGCTGCGAAGGTTCTGTTAGCAATTATTAATCGAGAGAACCATCCTAGAGGGCAGAGCCTACAGATTGCAATTTGCCAGAGAATGAGGACTCTGAAGCGCTCTGAGGCTTTCAGCTCTTCTCTTCGCAAGCCCGAAACACTGTCAAACAGCTTATCACTTATGCCTAGCATTTTGACAGCCTTCATATCATGCAGCATGCTGGATACTACAGTGAGACGTGCTTGAACACGTTCAATCCACCTCAGCTGTGCACCGCATGACGTTTTGGATAGTGGGAACGTGGCCAGTATCGCGACTGTAATGTGTCAGTAAAATTCCTCTCACTCGCGGAATAGCAAACATACGAGATGAAATGACGGTCGGGATCAAACAGGCCACACCAAGCTGTCGCTCCAGAAGAAATATTGCGATTGCCACCTGAATAGGGGCCATCCAGGCTTCATGAATCCCACGGATTCTGTAGCTGATGCGCTCCACGTCAGTCGATATCAACGTGATAGAAGACTTGTCCTTGAAGTCTCTGGCTTGAAGCTTGGTTGTCTGTCGGTAAACAAGAGAGATGAGGCCTCCTCGAATCATTGTGATCAGACGAAGTGTTTGGCGCCAGTAAGCAGCCGTGGATATCGCCATTCCCATGTATGTTATAACATATGCCCCAACCAGTGCTGGGCCATGGATCCGATTTTCTTGTGTTGAAGGTTGACTTATGAAATCAATTGTCGCGGAAATTAGAAATGGTTGACAGAATTTAAACCCCGTGAGACAAATCTGGGGGGATTATAGCGCTGGCGAATGGCCCGAGATAGGCACGAAATGTTGCCCGGAGAAGACGATTTTTACCACTGTAATTTCCTTGTGCAGAGTCTTAGTGTTGAGAACCCACGAACTAATATTGAGGGCTTACCCTTTTTCCATGCGGCATGTAGTTTCTTCTCGGCGGGGATACCCTGCAGGGCAGCATCTACCTCAGGCATATCTTTCAACGAAATGATAGTCGAGAACCCGCTTCGAAACAAAGGTAAAACCCAGATGAAGAAGCTCCGAATCCAAAAGTTCGAAGTACTTTCTTTGCTGGGCTCGCGATAGGCAAGGCGTATGACTTGGGTTTTGTGGATGGACTCTAGACACAATACCACGACCGTGCCAACCGTAACCAGTGTCCACAAGGAAGCCTGTGTATAAACATCGGGTGTGAGGATCCACAGAGATCTCATTCTGGGGCCGGCGAGTATGCTGGACAGGAAGAAGTATATGACCATGACATCTGATGGTCGGACTGAGCGCTGATCCTCCAACCACGACAGCAATAGAGAAGCAACAACGGCGAACAGCTGTAAGAGGCTGGCTGCGAGTGCAACTTTGGTATGCAGAGTTGGAGACCGAAGTTGGAAAGCCAGAAATGTGATGTGAAAAGAAAACAAGCATGCAAGGGCAATCTGTCACCCTTCTTAGCTCTAATGCACTGTGACAATGGATTTAGTAGTATAGTTACAAGTTTTGCAGTCGCCAGGTGATGGGAGGTGACTTTCACGGGGGCTCGAAGGAGAAGAGGAAGCCTCAAAATTGCAGACACCAGGAAAATTGCCGCTGGCAGCAGGGTGAAGAAAACATCCTCGAAAAGTAATGTGAAGTCGAATGATCGACACTGATTCGTAACTCGGGGGCCAAATCGATCATCGCTGCCAAGGGGGCAGGAAAAGGCCATGACAGAAAGGTACTGAAAACAGAGAGAACAAAAAACAGAGCGCGGGCATCGTCGACCCTTTGAACCCTTGCTAAATACACTAGTTTGTGCTTACTCTACTAAATCCTGTCGGAGAATCTGACGAGCCTCTACTCCGGATTCCGAGCTCCGATGACGCTAGGCTGCGCCAATGTAGCATTCGTCCGCGGCGAATGCTTAATGCTTATTGGCCCCACACGAATTTATCAGATTAGAACTCATCTGAGTGGCTTTGACCGTTGCTGCCTTATCAGGCTGTAGGATAATATACTGACATGGTGGGGGAAGTGAAAGTACCAACTGCGGGAGAGAGGCTATTACGGCGCTCCATAGCCCAACTTCCTTGTCTCTTGGACTTCGGTACGATAAGGAGAGCAATGAATTAGCGTCAGCTGGATATTGAAACAATGACTATACATCAATCAAACCCACTTTCTTGCCTGAAAGAAGACGTTTGGATTCCGGGATCTGAAACCGTGCCCAAAAGCTTTCCAAGGCATTCAGCATACGTTGATATTCTTGCAACGAGGACACCAAAAGCCTGGTTTCGAAGTCCTGCCTGATGACTTCGACATCTTCAATACCAGAAACGCAAAAGCCGAGCATGAAAACGGGCCAACAGCCAAGATAGCACCGATGCCATTCCGGATCAAGACGCGCTTCACACAGCAATGCAACGGCTTTTCGGACTGTGCACCTAGCCTCATGATTAGATAAGTTGCCAGAGGTCCGATCTTGATTAGAAATTAGAGGATTGATTGGAATGAGTGTGGCAACGAGAATACACAGCCGATATGCGCAAACCACCGAAACTCGATTACTGTGGATGCCGAGCTTTGCATCCACCGGGGGGATTCCTTTGATCTCGTCTTTGAGAGCAACCTTGTAAAGGCTAAGCTCGATTTCCAAAGCCGCAAAAGTCGTATCACTTTTATAGCCCGGTTCACGGGCATATTGCACCATGCAGAGGATCATCTTGTAAAAAGACGTCGGGAATCCAAGTACAAGGCTGCAATAAGTCCCAACATCGTTGGCATGCCTCAGCAGTCGCTCAGCCATTGACCAGAACTTCGTATCAACTATAAACCCACCAGTCATGACTGGACTCCACACTGCGAGGCGAAAAATGTGAAATAAAGTACCGTCCAGAGCATGTAAGTCCAACAATGTTATAGGTCTATCGTGGCGATCGTAAGGCTCATTGTAGTTGATTTTGCGTTTGAGCATGTGAACCACAGCTCCTAGGTGAGACAATATCGAGTCTCGCTCCGGTGATAATATATTTTGGGACGTTGAAACCGTTATCTGATTATTCACTTGCTTGAGAGGATGCAAATCGACAGATGGGTGCTAGAACTTACTCCATAGACAATAAGAAAGATGACTGCCATTACAAGTCCATCACTAATCTGCTCTTCTTTCCCGCAAAGTCGAGTCACTGATGTCTTGACTTTTGTCAGGGCTTGATGGTATAGTTCTAGCGCTGCTGGGAACGAGTAGGCTTTACTAGACTGGTGGAGATGCGCAGCACTGCATGCCAGTATAGAATACCTAAGGTCGTCATGTTCCAACATGGATTTTCTTAGAGCTTCTGAATAATGTTGGCTCCGAGTATTCTGCATCTGAGTGAGCGTTACAAGTGGTAAGAACTCGGTGAAGAAGTAGCCATTCAGTATCAGCTCTCCTTCTCCCTTTAAATGCAAGGCACCGGATATCCCTATATGAGGCTGGGGCTCTTTTAATTTCGCGACGGTACTATCACACTGGTTTCTGGGAGGGGGAGCTCGTCGTTTTCTTGTGTTTCGTTTAAAAACCTCGACCCGTTTGCCGCATCTATTGTCACTAAGTTCGTCTTTCGAGGGCCTGACGCAAACATGAGACCCGGCCAGGCAGCGATGACAGCGTGGTGTTCCTCCGTCGCACTTCTTACGCTGTCTTCTGCCTGGTAATCCCCTATGGGATCAGCATGTATAGCCCTATTAAGTCTATAGGCTCAACGCCGAATACAAGGAAACTCACATGTCAGACAGCCATTTTTAGTTCTGAGGCGGGGTTCTGGTCGTGGTTTGATTTTGACACTTTCAATATTCATTGCGGCGGATTGTGTTGATGGATAGTGAGGGGAATGGTGGAGGGGAGATGAAGATAGATGAAGAGGGGAAGCGCGAGGTGTTGTCCAAAAAAGAAACAAGACTGCTTTCTCCAGGGTTCATTAGGAAAATCTAAGCTTATCCTGGACAGCCGAACGCGGATATGTCAGTAGATTACCAGGGCGAGCCAATCATTAGCAATACCGCCTGAGTAGTTCATACTGAGTCACGTATTTATCTTGTCTCGTGTTGCCGATCCGTTGGCCCGGGAGAACCGGTAAGATAGTAATTCAGCCAGTCATTAGCATTTACGCCTCCGGGTGGGGTACATGTGAGATCGTAAAAGAATCTCCAAAATCCAGTTTGTTAATACACACTGGCTAGGGAGTAGTATCAGCTATATAAGCGCAAATGTTGTTGATTGGCTTTTGGCTTAAGCCAGAGAAAAAAAAGACTTCTCACAACGCGCAATTGGTTATGGTCAACATAAGACCCATACTGAGGCAACCGGGGGGGGGAACCGGGGATATTGAATACTTGGCCGTCAACCACCTAGTATAAAAGTTGGCCATATCTTTTCTTTGATATGTTTGGAATTAACACAACCACCTGTAAACTGTGATTGATACTTCGATATTTACCCCGTCTTCATTGAATGCAGACTGAAGCCAAGCCATCATAATGGAACCCCCTTCGTCTGCTACCTGGGCCAATTCAGTAGCCTACTACAACGGCCGTGTTTACACTGTCAATGAAGCCCAAACATGGGTAGAAGCCTTTATAGTCAACGAGACTGGGATCTTTGAAGCCGTCGGAACCACTCAGGAGATTATTGCCATAGCTGACAAGCGCAAACTCGTCCGGTTCAACCTACGACAAAAATTCATCATGCCAGGCATTCACGATGCTCATGCCCACATGTACTTTGCCGGGCTGGCTGAAACGAGCGAAGCTGCAGTTGAACTTGAACCAAATGATAGCAGGATTGCAGAAAAGATTCACGAGGGCCATTGCATGTGTTCTCACACCGGAGAGCGGCACGATTGGATTCTCAGCAATTCCTACCTTGCAGTTCATTTTCCAGACAATGTTCCAGATCGTCGTTATCTCGATGACATTTTTCCAGATCGCCCGGTCCTGATCCGCGAACTCTCTGCACACAGAATATTACTTAACACGACTGCCTTGGAACGGCTCAATATCAATGATGATATACTTGACCCCCCGGGCGGCCGATACGTACGTCGATCTGATGGAACGTTGAGTGGTGAGATCTATGAGAATGCCATGGACAAAGTTTGGAGTGCAATCCCTTTCCCACCAATGTCTCAGTACAAACGAGCGTTAAGCCGCGCCGTGTCCATATGTCACTCATATGGTATCACATCTGCTCAAGAGGCCACTGCCAGCACCATGGAACTGCATGCTTTCAGAGAGCTTGAAGCTGAAAACCGGCTAGACTTTGATATCTACACGCACATTGTCAGCGCCCCTGGTGGTATTGTTGGCGAGTCCGAAGATAGCCTCGCTGCTCAGATCAGCATCGCTGAAGGATTTCGAACGAAGCATATCCATCCGCGTTTTATCAAATTTATACTGGACGGCGCACCTATGGCGCCCAACTTCACTCATGCCGAGCTTGATGCGGAGGGAAACATTGATCCACGCTTCTTGGTAGTTCCGCAGGACACTCTCTTGGAACGCGTCAAACATTATGATGCTAAGGGTTTCACCTGTAAGCTCCATGCTGCAGGCGAAGGAAGCACTAGACTAGCTTTGGATACCATTGAAACTGTTCGAGCGCTGAATCCGAATGGTCCAAGGCATGAGATCGCCCACTGCAACTCGGTTCATGTCGGTGAGAAACAAATTTCAACACAGATGCATGTTATATGAATATCAAAAGCTAACTGTCATATTCTAGACGATGTGAAGCGATTTGCTCCGTTGAGGATAACCGCAGAGATGTCTCCAGCCGTTTTCCACTACGAAGAAATGATCAGGGCCAATCCCAACTTCTTCAACTGGGACTTTATTGGAATGCACAAGACCGGTGCCCTTACAACCATAGGCTCAGATTGGGTGGTTGTCCCCACGCCAAACGTGCTGCCTTCAGTGGCTTGTCTCGTTGAGCCAATTGGGGCCGGTGTTAAAACTGATGTAGATGACGGTCAAACAGACTTGCAAAAGGGGAAGCCGAGCTATCATCCGGATGTTAACCCTGAGCGGTGCTGAAGCCATAGGTTCAAAGCATTCAGCTGGTAGCATTGAAGTTGGCAAGAGAGCCAATTTCATTGCCTTGGATAGTGACCTTAGTGAAGGGGAGTTTGCAAATGCAAACTGTTTACAGACTTGGTTTGAAGGACGTATTGTATACACGAGAAGGGAGGATAGATCTGTGGCCTTGTAAATACAGCTTTGCACAGTGGTTTTAATGTGTCTCCGGGGCTGGAACCAGCACCGACGCTCGTTTTGTGGGACTTGGAGAACTTGTAAAGTTCAAGTTGAAAGGTTGAGGACTGTCCAAGTGGAGAACCTGCCCAGGTGAACTTGAACTCTAGGGCTTGAATAAGCCCTGGAGCCTCGTTGAAATATATATTTACCTAGGTAGCCTCAAGCTTGGACCTCAGAATTTGAACTTCAAGTTCCAAGTTCGAGTCTACAATGCGTGCCAGGAGTTACTATCGATTCACGGAGCCACCGGGATGAATTTTCTTTTCCTTGAGCTTGAAAGAACACTGTTATATTCACCTAAATAATCTTGTAACCTTGGAACATAAAGCCAGAATTCCCCATAGTGGGGCGATTTTTCATCTGCCCCTTGATTTGCCAAATGATATTTACGAGTACATCGAGTGAGGCCTCTTACAACTTCAACAGAGTAGATTGAGAATATACCTATTAGCTTTTAAAGTCCGCCCAGGATGCTCATATAACTTTCGGCCATTGACTGCATCCCAACTCACCCCTGGTGAGCCGCGGCATCCGAATGAGGCATTTGTGCGTAATTCCCGCCAAGTCGACAGATCCGCCAACAGCAAATCTCACGCCTTTCAACAAGAGTCTATAAAGGACCCTGGGCTGATCTGAATCGAAAATAAATCAGGGAACTCGACTCGAGACTCTCACTTAAACCCTACTACAACATGATTCGAGTTCAAGGATCCCACTGTTTCCGATCGCGGAGCTTTGCACCCCTGCAGAGCTCCCCGGGCTACTATCGCTTCCTTTCGAAGACGTCTCCAGGCTATGGGTGCCACAAACAAGCTCCATCGTCTGCAGAACCCCCGCAAAAAGGAATTAAGGATAGCGCACCCACGCCGACTTCATCACTGCTACGCTCGGCCTTCTGGTCGTGCCGCTCCACATGGCGACGAGCCGGGATCAACACCCTCCGCTGTTTGGTCGGGTGTACAGTCGGTGACTTTACAGCCCTATGGACGCTACAATCCTATTACCCCGAACTGGGCATGAACAGCATCATGCTTGCCTCAAGTATGTACATACTCTCCAAAACAAGAATAAGCTCCGAAAGCGAAGCGCCCGCGCAAGAATTTACGTGAAACGTGGTCGGCTAATGCAGGACGGAACGGAATAGTGGCCTCGGGCATCACGACTTCGATTATTCTTGAAACGGTGCTGTTAAGACGCGGTGCCGATCAATTGTCTTGGACTATGGCGGCGCGGACCGCGATGGGGATGAGTATGGTTTCGATGATCGCGATGGAATTGGCGGAGAATGCCGTTGACTATCACCTCACCGGAGGAGTTATTGCCCTTGACGATCCTAAGTTCTGGATGGCGGCGGTTCTATCGATCGGTGCGGGTTATCTTGCGCCACTGCCATATAACTATCTCCGCCTGCGAAAGTATGGGAAGGCATGCCACTGAGGAGGGTGAGAGATTACTCATAACGTGAAAAGGGGGAAAGGCATGTCCTGGCGAGCCCCGAGAAGAGAGAGAAATTGTACGATAGTTACTCTGTAGTATTAGTTAGTTTAGATAGATACGAGTACGAGTATCTAACACTCGACATAGGATTATCCCACTGCATCCTCCTGTTGGCGGGAAAAAGATAGAACGACCGTTGGTTTCAGAGTTTCAGATGTGTGGCAGGATCTTAAAAATCAGAACATCATTTCTAGAAAGGGCAAAATGTTCATCAAAGTTAATAATCATTGAGAAAGACCCTGATACTCCGTTCCTACGGTTCTCCGGTGGAGTTGCCGATCCCTTGTAGCAGGTTTACAAGACCCGAGTAAATTTGTCCGGAAGAGATGCGATCGTCTTTTCTTCAGGTTACATCGCCTGCAGTGATGGGCGGTTGGCCTATCGGGTGATTCGAACCAGAGCGTTTTTTGAGGTCAAATCGATAGATATGATATGACAGTTTGAACGGGACACCGCGTGGCCTTTTCCGGCTTGCCTGAGCAGCTGCATTCGTTTCGTTTCATCGTAACCTGAGAAGCCACCTGGACGAGTCTTTGGAGCGGGCGACGCGGCCTCCGCCCCTCGTGGGGTTTCCTAAAGCGTTCAGTCTGACGGATTCCGCCTTGACTCGTCATCTCCAGGGCTATAAATGTGATGAGCGCCAGAAAGGATCAAGATTCTAGATTGTCTATGCCCCGTATCTTTATATATGATACGAGTAGGTACTGTTGCCTGTCCCATCGAGGATATTGCATCGACTTAGGTCCATCCTGGGCATCGCAGTCCTCTCCTATCTGGCGGCAGTGGCTTGAACGCCAAAAGGGCCTACGTGGCCATAATTGGTGCTGGTCGCCCCACTGGCTCCATTTTCTGACGATAGCCTTGGAGCCCGGTAATAAAAAAATTATGCGAGATCGCCGCATGACGACGTGAGAACGGAGAAACTAGAGAGAAAGGCTGGATTAGTTCCAGTTCCAAGCCAGGAGTTCTTTTTTCTGCCCCTTCATCCTCTCCCAACCTCAACCTCAACCTCAACTACGACTCGGAGTATACTAGTATCCATGTCTATGTCGGGATAATCATCCCTTCCAAACCCTAAATACTCCGAGTCCATTCCCAATTGCAATCGGCTCGCCCTGGGGGCTCTTCGACGCCATGCAGATCCTCTCGTGCCAGAGGAGCAGAACCACCATTCTGTTGACGGTCTTTTCGGCATTGGTCTTCGTCTCGCTGTTGAGATTGAACCATTCTTCCGAACATTTCCAACATAATGCTAATATCGAAATCACTCCGGGATCATTATCACAACCGCAATCCCCAGAGCCTTCTGCATATCCCGCGTCATCCGAATCGCAATCCGAGCTTGAATCATCACCAGAGCAACCACCGCCACAAAACAACCCTAAACCTCAACCTCAACACCATTACCAAACGCAGGCGCAGGCGCCTCCAAAAAATAAAGAATCAAACCTCAAAACCCCGCAAAACTCAAAGGAACAGCAAACGTTGGCCAAACTCGAAAACTACGAATGCGACATTGACCTAGATCTAATCCGCCCCTACAAACCCTACGACGACACCCACGTAAAATACTCAAGATGGGACATCGCCGTCGTCCGAACATCCAACTTCAAAGGATTCTCCCCAAACCTGAACGTACCACACCCAGACACCGAACAACCAGCCCTGGACCTCGACCTCGCCAATCCAGGCCCAATGGTCCAATACAAGAAACTTCCCCCATCATCCTGCAAACCAATCATCATTGAAGCGCCCGCTCCCGAAAAAGTCGACGCGTCGCACATATACGTTGGATTCGCAACGACAATCGAAAGACTACACGCCGACATTCCGGCTTTCGCGCACTGGGCCTCGAATAACAATCTCCACATGTTCGGTCTACTCGAGGAACGGGTCGTGGAAGGAGATCTCGGCGACGGAAACGGCACTCAGATCTTTGCTATTGATCGATCGGAGGAAATTGCGGAGTTGGAGAAACGCGCGGCTGAGTTGGGGATTCGTTTATCCCTTTTTACCTCGCAGGCTGAGTATACGGATCGATACTTCGCGCTGACGAAGATCATGTATGAGAATCGTGATCGGGATGGTGTTAGAACGGAGTGGGCTGTTGTTATTGATGATGATACTTTCTTCCCTTCTATGGGGAATATTGTGCGTCGTTTGCGCGAGGCGTACGATTCGCGGGAGAAGTGGTATGTCGGTGCGCCGACTGAGAGCTTCGAACAGTTGAAAATGAATATGTGGATGGCATTTGGTGGCGCGGGTATTTTCATGTCTATGCCCTTGATTGAGGAGATGATTGGGTCGTTTGATCAATGTGATTTGTGGAAGGGGCCTGGTGATCAGAAGATTGCGCAGTGTGTCTATTGGCATACGAAGACCAAGTTGACTTGGGATAAGGGGCTTTTCCAGCTTGATATTAACAATGATGTTTCTGGGTTCTTCGAGTCTGGTCGACCTTTGCCGCTTTCGTTGCATCATTGGAAGTCCAATTTTGATGTTGATATGGTGCCTCTTGCGAAGGTTGCTGCGGTTTGCGGCGATAATTGTCTGCTTAAGAGGTGGCAGGTTGGCGATTCGCGAGAGTGGTTCTTTACCAATGGGTTCTCTTTGGTGAAGTATTCTGCTCCCTTGACGGATGAGGAGATGAATAGTATGGAGTTCACCTTCGAGGAGGACTTTTGGAAGCCGATGGATGACTATGCGTTTACTCTTGCGCCGTTGCGGGAGATGGATTGGGGCAAGATCTCGTTTCAATTGCGTGATGCTGTTATTGAGAATGATGGACAGCGCGTGAGACAGATCTATGTTCATGAGCCGGACTTCTTTGACGAAGGTCGCACGGAGGTTCGCGAGGTTGTTTGGAATATCATTGATGAAGAGTGATCATTTCTTGAATCTCACACGACGCCAACCCCCGCTTGAGTCGCCCAGGAGGCATCTCTCAAGTGGACCGAGGCTTCACTAAACGCAAGCCATCCATTGGATTCGAACTTCAAGGCTGTATCTTTCAACCCCGGCCAACTACCGTGCCCTTGTTCGTCCTTGCGGTGTGGTGAGATATACGATTCCATGCCTATATTTTCCATGTACATAGAATTTTATTGCAATTTAGAAGACATTAGCATCAATATCTTGGAGTATCTATTTCACCTTTTCCGTGACGTGGTATTTCAAAGCTTTCGCGTTACCTTTAGCAGTGGTCGGTAATAGGATGAAAGAGCTTGAAGTTCTCATAGCGCTGTCCAGGTAATTCGTTACTAAAACTGCGGCATCACTACGGCAAGATTGCTGCTAGTAACTAATACTACTGACCAGTACGAATGGTGTCAGGTAAGAAATCCTTGGAAGCAACCTTATAGGAGCCTTATTCCATTAAAAAAACAAATATAGATAAACCACCCAGAATCACGCTATTTCATCCGAATGCATCAGCCATGTAACTGTAACAAGATAACACGAAAGAGGGAAAATAATGATAAACAGTAGAAGGAAGAAAGTAGAAAAAAGGGAACCCTGGAAAGAAGGAAGGAAACTCGGACAATTTTTTATCCAAGAAATGACTGTATGTGGGTATGACTGTATGTGGGTATGACTATGTGGGTATGATGTATAATGACAGGACAGCAAGGGAAATAATTATAGAACCAGACTGATTGTAGGGAAAATTCAATCAGTCAAGTCTGCATGTGTAAATGAGGATGGAATGAAAAATGTGATGTACGCAAAAAGCAGAAGACAGCCAATATGAGAGAATATGTGAATCCAAATATGAAAACAAATCTCCAACTGTTCAAGTTTTGACAGTTCGTTTTAACACTTTTCACCAACAGCCGCATTATTGCATATGCTTCTCATCATGATCATGCACCTGCACATGCGGATGGTGACCATCCTGCGCGCCCGAAACAGGAACAGGCGCACTGGGCGAAATATCGCGCCCAGACTCCAAATCGTTCCCATCGCGACTGACACTGCTGCGATGACGGAAGAAGCGATTTCTCGCAGACGAAGCTCCACTCCTGACGCTGTGCGCGTCGGTTGAAAGCCGACCCTCGTACGTGGTGGTGGTAGTCAAATTCGACGGGCGCCGACTGCCCCGGTGTGACGAGGCAGCGCCAGTACTGGCGCTGGCACTGCGGCTGGTTCGGCGCTCTTCTTCCTCCTCGGCGAGATTCTGCATGCGGCGCTCTGTGGCTTCGCGGTTTGATGTGCGGACCACATCGTCGATGCGCACGGAGCGGTCTTCGAATACGTCGCCCATGACGTCGTTTGAGGAGAGATTTGCCATTCCCAGGGAGAAGTCGACGTGTTTGCGCGATGTTGAGGCACCGCGGGCGCGGGCAGCTGCGGTGTTCATGCCCTTTCGCAGAATGGAGGGGTGGCGGGCAGCGGTGCCGCTGCTGACGCTGGTGTTTTCGGGGATTGAGTGGCTGCCCGGTTCGCCGATGGGAACTTCTTCGGGTTCGGTAGGATCTTCTCTGTGCAGGGGCGGGGCGACCATTGGTTGGCCGTAGTTGATGTGGACGGGGTAGTCGACATTGGCGCCTTGGAGGTTCATGCGAGGGCCCTCGATGCCGATCTCTTGCAAGGCGATCATGAGCATGCAGATGAATTTGTTGCGGCGTTGCAGGCGGAGACCTTCGTTTTGCCAGTTGGATTTGTAGAAGAAGACTACGTTCAGGGTGACGGAGAAGTTCTCGGTAACGGCGCGCAGCTCGGTGAGAATATTGCTCTGGAAATCGCGCTTCTCGCTGCGGACAAATTCCAGCAGGCGTTGACGAAGACCGTCGAGTTGGTCGATAGTTGTGCCGTACTTGATGATGATGGGGACGGCTTCGGCGAGAGCTCCGGAACGGCGCTGGTTGAGAATGAAGAGTCCGTTCAGATAACTATTCGGAGCTTGGACGACGTGGCCTTGCATCTTCTTGAACTCGGTGTAGAGAAGAGTGATCTCCTTCACGAAGTAGTCGTCGCCCAGACCGGCATCACCGGCGTTACCGTAGATAGTGACACGGTCACCGACATCGAAGGGGTGCTTGACGAAAACAAAGATGATGGATTGCAGGAATTCCTGTGCGGTGGCAGAGAACAGCCAAGAGAGAGCCAGAATGGTGGAACCAGCAGAGGTGAGGACACCAGCGGCGGAGGTCGAGATCAGCGAGAGGAAGACAATGATAACAATGACGAATACAAAGAACATGAAAACATCGTCCAGCTTGGAAACGACAGAGTCCAGATCCTTCAGCGAAGCGGTGATGGATTTGCGCTCACGGCCAATGTCGACACACACAGCTTCCAATTCTTCCATGGAGATATCACCATTCATGTCGCGATCAAACATGACGAAAGCAGCCTCGGCTTCTTCATTGTTGTCAAAGGCCTCCTTCAAATCGCCGGAGAAAACAGTGTCGAAGCCATCACGGACAAAAGTACGGTAAAGGCGACGGGCCAGAACCTGGCAACCGGAGGTGGAACGGAGAAGAGTCAGAATGACTTGGTAAGGGTCGCCGCTGTTCTTGACTCTGCGACCGGTGAAATCCGAAACGACGCCACCAGCCACATCACCGACCTTGTTACCGACCTTTTCGGCAACCTTTTGGGCGGCGCGACCGGCCTTTCCGGCGTAGTGCAGCGGAGTCTTGGTGCCCGAGCCGGATTGATCCTGATTGATCTCCTGGAAAGCATCATCCTCCTCCTCGATCTGGGCGCGCGACCATTGGTATAGTTTCACCAAGCTGCCGATCTGGAATTTGTTGATCTCAATGCGATCGGCGTAGGTGCGCAGGTGGAAACTAATGGCGATCAGCTGGATAATGACCTTTTCAATCAAGTTGAGAATCGTCCAGACGAAAATCACAATGATGATCTTGTTGAGAGTGTTCTCCCAGCTGCGAGTCCCCTTGTCGCCATCAACATGGTGGTTCTTCATCGTGGGGAGGAAAGAAATTTCGATGCCGAGCCACCACAGAAACAGGGCGAAGTGAATCTCAAGCTGCTTGGCCATGTCGCGCCATTTCTTCGCGTTGTTGGTGAAGACACTGGCGACGGCACTCACCACGGGGGGGCAATGCTTTTCCAACGATGCGACCAGCCCAGAGAGTTAACCAAACAATCTCGAGCCAAATGGAGAACCACATCAATTTCACACCTCCAACACTGGTATTGGGAAACTGGAGGGCGCCGACCAAGAGGGGGATCATAATGAGGAGAACCATGGGGACGATATAGGTGAGATAGCGAACGAGGAAGCTAGACTGGTGAATCCGCTTCACAAAGGCGGACAGCTTGGTATTGGGACTCTTGGGGGGTTTGTAGATGGCGGCCTTCTCATGGAGAGGGTTGGTGGCCTCGTCAAACTCATCGACGGCCTCGCTGCGACGCGATCGGGTCCGGCTGATAGAGTGGTGGTCGCCATTTTCGCCCGTCTCGCCCTGAGTAGAGCGGGATGCGACACGCTCGGCCTGGAGGAGGGTCAAGTCATCCTCCAAACGAGTGGCTTGTTCACGGCGAGCGGAGGGAGTGCTCATGGGGGGTGCACCATCGGGATAGAGGGCCGTATCGACTTTGAGGCTGTTCGGGTTACGCGATTCGGAGGACTCGTTCACATAGGTACCCTCGTCGGAGGTTGGGGATTCTTGGATGGACGAGTGTTCTCCATGTTGATGTTGTTCTTGGACATGGATGATTCGTTTGTGGTCCACGGGGCTTGACATGGTGGCACCAGGCCAGGCCAGTAAAGAATGTGGGGGGGGAGTGCCAATGGGTGGCTACGGTTCAACCGTAGATGGATGGAATGTGAATCAGTGGAGGAGGTGGGAGAGACGTATTAAGGATAAATAAAGTGGAGGTAAACGAGGGTGAGGGAGGGTGAGGTGGGTGAGGGTGAAGAAGGTGGGAGTGAAGGTGAGAGTGAAGGAGAAGGTGAAGAATACTCATACTAGCACGACCAGCAAGACTATCAGAGCCACCAGGTGAAACCCAGTGGGCCACAGTGGGTCGCCAGTTGAGATGGTCTGGACCGGCATAAATTAAGTCAATTAAGTGGATTGGGCTTGGAGATCCAACAGGTCAATGCTGTACCGACTACATTTTATTGCATTTGTATTGTGATGCGCATACCTCAAGTGAAGCCCTAATTGGGACATCCGCTATACTTCAAGTTGACTTCGTAAAAAAGACAAACTTCTCCTCTCCACCATGCACAGTGATCTCGGACTACCGTTTAGAGCATCCCTAATTTAATGCAAATTATGTTCAAACACCATGCAGCCACCGCTTGGCGATCTCCACCGGGTGGCGTGGATGGCAAAGGGGCAGCGTATCACAACGTCTGCTATTTTGAGGCTGGCCCTTTGATTACGCCGGTGGCAGAGGGGCAGAGGAAGGAAGATTGAGATTTCACCAGGGTCTAGATTCTACATTCTAGATTCTAGATTTTAGATTTTAGATTCTCTGAAGTTTCCCTTCTGAAGCACACCAAATAAACATCCCGAGGAGACAATCTCAAAATAGCCGGGATTCCCAGTCGTGATATCACAAGTGGGTCAACTTGATCCACCTCGGCACAAGAGACTTACGAGTATGTACGACTCGGTGTATTCAGGTTGCGCATGGACTACGAGGAGACCGCGTACTCGCAGGCCGTTACTCTGTACTCTGGGACCCTACTCCGTACAAGCGTGAAAGAAATCTGCACCTCCACCACCCTTCACCACTCCCCACCACGCACGACATCCAATCGATCTCCCCGATCGGGACAGAGTTGGTTCCGATCAGCATCACGTTGCTTCTACATACTGTACGAGTATGTCCATAGTCACACTAATAGTCACACTAAAGGCGGAGTGCAGGTGCAGGAGCAGGAGTAAGCGAACCACTATCTCCCAAGTCGTCATCTGCATCTGCATCTGCATCTCCTGCTGCAATGGGGACGGGACTAGATGGTCCCAGTTGGTCCAAGTTGGTCCCACGCTCAAGATTGGTTGTCGGCAGAGTGATTGGCACAGCAATTGGGCCGGCCTCATTCGTCGGATTTGGCGTGCGGGCCCAACGGAGTAAGATCGTCCTGCTTTGACAGCGCCTTTACCCGAGGCGAGACATGGGATGGTCAATGTAAGGTCCGTGATGCGGGCGGTTGAGAGGGGCTATTTTGGCTGTGTGGCGAAGTAATAATATTCTACGAAAAATAGAACAAAAGTGTGTTCCACTTGGAATCAGAGAGAGAGAAAGAGGAACTTGGGAGTCCTGAAGGTCAACTTGATACTGGATTAGAAACCAACTCAACTCGAGCCAAAGCTCGAGAAAACTAGTACATAGGCACTCTAGGTCCATTCCAATCCAATTCAGTTCAGTCGCTTCCACCCAATGCCCAGATCACAAAATGGCAAAGAAAGAAGAAAAGAAAAAAAGAAATTGAACTTCACTTTCATTCCGAAACGCCGGGGCTCCTTGACCATACATAAAACAAAAGCTGAAAGCCGAGGTGGGACATAAGAGACGTGAGAGCGATGCGCGTATAATGACATGTCCGCTGGACAGTGCAAGAGAAATCAAGAATCAAGGAAAATGTTTACAACGAAGGGAAGTCGAATCAGAGATGCAAATATGTGGAAAGAAAAGAAATGGAAAAGGGTCACGAGTATGATGTTCGTGACGATAAAACCGCAAGAGCCATGATAGTAGTAGCCTAGGAGGAGGACCCTCGGGGATGGCTGCCCTATCTTTTAGAGGTGGACAGGTCGATACGATACCGCTCACTCGGTCGTGGTGTCTCGTCGCTATCCGGTGTAGGAGATGGATGTAGAGGACGGGGTGTAGCTTCAGGATCTGGCGTCTCGGTATAATCGGTGTCATCAACGCCAGAGCCAGAGCTAAACTCGGCAGAAAGTAGACTACTTGTTGTCTTCACCTCCGGCGTAATGGGGCCTCGGCCTCGGCCAACTTCTCCGCTGGGAGGCGTAATTTGACCCTGGGTCAGACTCTCCGAGCTAGCCTTCGATACAGAAGGGTGGGAGGTTGGCCCTGAATAGATAGAGGTATCGCGATGTCCGAGAGAAGGACGGCGCTGGTTTGATCCAAGAGATGAGACCGATGCATTCGGTGGTGAATTGTGGGGACCGACTTGTTCATCAACCTCTGACTCCTCGGGGATACTCATCCCCTCGAAGCGTTCCTCCAGGCTCGTGCTGGCAGGGGAGCCGAGAGAACCGTCGTCACTACCGCTTGCGAACTCTCCACTTTGTCGGCGTAGAGCTTCCCGCTCCTTCTTGATGAGCTCTTCGCTGCCACTGACTACACTGCCTCGACTGTTTGTGCGCATCATCTCAATGCCAAGCTTAGACCCCGGTCGACGGTTGCGACTTGGTGGACTGCGGCGAGATTGGGTGTTGCCAAGCTCCTCATCCTCGTCGTCGCCGGATTCCGCACCTTCGTATTTCTTGCGTTCCAAGGACTCGCGCTTCGCACGGATGGCTTCACTAGAGCGCTGTTTCCGTGGGGTGAGTGTACCGGTTCCGTCCATAGCGGCGGGTGCACTGGCAGTGTGGAGTATTTGGGGAACAGGCATCGCTTTGGGATCCGGGCTGCCAGGGTGGGCATCTTCGGAGATACCTAACCCGCCGCTTCCCTGTTCCCAGTCATCATGACTGCGGCTGATGATGACAGGCACATCGTCTGGTTTGATCGACTCCATATCACCAAATACACTGCTGGTCACCGATTCATCCCGACTCGACCCCCGGTAGGAACTAGGAGGGTTGGGCACGAAGCCCGATGATGCCGAGCTAGGGCTGTCATCGGTCGGATGCGTGTTGGGACGAGTACTCGGCATCGACATGGGGAGGGGGGATTGCGATGGATTGTAATCTTTGGGTGGAGGTTTCCACATGCACCACTTAATTAGAGCCTCTGTGAGCTTAGAAAGTGTAGGTGGTTTCTGGATGAGTGCATCGAAGTTATGGGTCTCGGGTAGATCCTTCAAGTAACCAGTGACAGCGATAATCGGCGTGTGTCTGTTTGCACTGCGGGTTTCACGGACCATACGTGCAAAGTCTGCGCCATTGACTTGAGGCAACTTGTACTCGGTCATGATAATATCGAACTGAACTTCACTCAGAGCGTAGCGCACGGCCTCGGCTCCATTGGCCACCGTGATGGTTCGGCAGCGTAGCTTTTCAAAGAGACGCTCCATCACCAGTCGTGAAACAGGGTGATCCTCACAGATCAGAATATCCAGGGGGCGGAAAAACGGACCCTCGGTCAAATTGAATTGTGACATTCGTCGTGAGCTCTGCCTACGGCGCTGGACTTTCAGCAAAGCCTTGGTGCGAGGATCTTCATTGTCGGAAGAAGACGGGGAAATATCGAACAGTTGACTGCGTCGCTTGTGATGAGAAGGGACAAAGGATTCTCTGCTGAGGGAGGAAGACAGTTCACCGCCATCTTGAGACCCAATGGTTTGCGATCGGGCTCGGCTGGCTGGAGCACTTCCATGTCGATGACTCGATGAAGACGGGTGCTTATCAGGAGAATGAGCTGGCATGCGACTGGCTTTCACGGGAGAGGAGGCGACCGAGCCCAGTCTCAAGTTCGGCATGCGGGTCTGCTCCGCCGATGATGGTTGGAATGTCCCACTCGACTGGTGTGACGCGGTCGAGGAAGAGCCCGACGTTTTACGACGCTCGTGGTTATGGCCAGTGCTGAACTGAACCAGAAGCGGCGAGGATGGTTGTGAGGGCCGGCTAGGTGAAGAGTTGGCCTGGCTCAAACTCGATGGCGAAGATGGCCGGTTGTTGCCCTTGTTTTGGGACATCGTACGCTGCAGCGACATTGGCAAGGGACTTCCATCCAGAGAAGGCTGAGAATTGGTCAAAGGCGTCTGTCCAGCCGCGGACGAACCGGATTGACGGTGCTGGGCCTGCATCGCTTCTTGCCGCATCTTCTGAATCACATCTTTATTGGCCTTTTCGAGCATGGGCAGATTCTTGAAGTTAAAGCTACCAAAATCGTCGGCTAGCGAGGGTTCGCTTAGTCTCCGGCTGCGCGAGTCACGGGCGTCCCGCACATGCGGAGGGATATGAAGAGGCATCAAGGGGCGCTTCATGGAATTCACTTGTGAGCGGACCTTGAACAACGCATCGTGAGGTCGATCCGTCTCGGTTGTGGCTGGCATTTGGGGGGAAGGTTGATCTTCCATTTCCTCGGCGAAAGCCTGTAGGGTCGCGCCGCGAGCATCAAAGTATTCGGTATCCTCGGGGTTTTCCAAGTTAGGAACAAACTCTGCTTTGTCTTCCAACAATGTACCCCAGTGAATATCGTTGAACCAAGGATGAGCACGAATCTCTGCTCCGCCGTTTGGGAACTTCTCCTCGACATTGGCTCCAATACGTTCACGCGGATTCAGAGTCATGAGCTTATTCATCAAATCCAGCGACTCTACAGTGGTGTACTCCTCGGGATCTTCTGGCCAGTTGATCCTCCGATGCAAAATATTCTCGAACACTTCGTCCGGGGTCTCGGCGTTGAAGGGTGGGTATCCAAAGATGAACTCGAACATGATACACCCCAGGGACCACCAATCGCTAATCTCATCCTGTCCAACTCCATTGATGGTTTCCGGAGCCAGGTAATCGGGCGTTCCAACGAATCGTCGGTCATGATCTTCAGGATCGAAAAGAGCCATCACAGGAGGCAACATGTTCTGCTGCGGGGGTGT